GGCAGTCATTGGGCATTGGCTGACATTTGATTGTTATTTTCCAGGTAGACAAACTGCATCTGCTGTGCTTCCCATTGCGTGTAATTCATTATTTTGTTGTTAATGCTACACTGCGAGAAATTATGTGTGCAGAAAGTGAGCTATTGTATTATATATATATATATATATATATAAATAAGTTATCGACAAAGACATTTATCGATAAGTGTAAATCTGAAACATTCAAATTAAAGTCTACGATTAGAGGAAATTCAAAATTTAACAACAACAAAAATGAACATCACACTTTCCATGAAATACTTTAGTATACCATATATATTTAAGCAATGAGCAACATTTTAGTGTATATTATAGTATTACGTCAGTCAAGAGCATTTATATATATTTGTACTTTGAAAATTTGTTAGAAAAGTTAAATAATTCATACTCACGCCAAACCGATGTGTGGCCCATCGCTGTGACCACCAATGTTGAGGATCAAGGAGTTTCTGTGCCGTTATGGACTGCTAGAAATGAGCGAACCACTGCCCAGCAGCTCGAACTGCACCATCTGCTTCGACATGGCCAACGATGAGGACGAGGTGCTGATCGTCCATCGCCTGCCCTGCGGCCATCTCTTCCACAAGAACTGCATTCTGCGCTGGCTGAGCTGCAACAACATCTGCCCCAATTGCCGCCGCGAAGTGGACACGGCCCCCTGTCGAAGCTATCCACGAATCGATGAACGTCAGCCCTTGGGCGCCGCTGTGCTCCTGTGGCCACGCGGTCGTCCGCCCGTCTCCACCTACATACATCGCCTGCAGCCCTCGAGCAATGTGCTGGCCGATCATAGCATGACCTCTGGCAATCAATAGATAGAGTTGGATCAGCCATTTGCGTATGAGCGTTAGCATCCAGAATTAATTGTTTTATTATTTTTAGTTTCTTTTTGGTTACTGTTCAATATTTTTGGTTCTATTATTTGCAAGTTTTGTTTGAAAATTCAATAAATGCCGATGCGTTTCTCTCAGTGTACGCGCATTGTTCATCAACAGTAGAAACAGTAGCAACAACAACAACAACAACAGCAACAGAGCAATACGTACAAGCATTCAACATCCGCAATCGCGGCCGCTGCCGCAGTCGACGTCGACGTCGCTGCCGCCGTCGCAGTTGTCTGGGCAGCATTGCAAATTTCTACATGGCCGCTCAACTGAAAATTGTTTGTGCACTTTTTAATTTTTCGCTTTTTTTAACATGGCTTTTGTTGTTGTTTTTCGCAGTTTCCCGTTGGTTAGGTTTTTTGATTTTATGTTTTTTTTATTTGTTTTGCTTTTGTTTCGATTTTATTTTATTATTTTTTTGTTTGCTTCAGTCGAGGGATTTATTTATTATTTTAATTATTTTAATTTGATTGCCAGCCGTAATCAATGCAAAGCGCCTCAAGGCTTTGTAAATTATATGGATGATGTGCTTAATGGGAATTTCGCTCATTAAAATGACAACTTATTGAAATCGCAATACTAAAACTAAAAAAAATCGCTATAAAAAGTGAATTAAATTAATATATTAGTTTCATTTAATTGTTAAGCAAATTAATGCAAGCCTATCAAATGACAATTATTTATGCATATTTTACTTTGATTTGCGGTAATTATTTATATCTGATATGAGTCGAAAGCAAAATATATACATAAATCAATTTGCGTCTAGTAACAAAAAAAAATAGTTTATATATAAATAAATGAATATATAAAATATATTATATGATAGAATGATCTATAGATTATTTGTATATAGATTAACACTACTTTACTTGAATTTTGTTCTAAAAATAAATATTGTTGAGAATGGAATGAACTATAATTTTTTTTTTTTTTTTTTCATTTTTTTCTGATGCTAAAATACTAAATTTTCTCAGGAATTCTTTAAGAATATTTCCTTTAATCATTTAATATTTTTTAACTATTTTGACAGTATTTATTATTATCATTATTATTGTGCATATTATTTCCATATTTCAAGAATTTCTTAACCCCAATTTGAATTACTCAAGTGCCTCAACTTTGTGGTAACTTTTCACAATCTTCAGCACGAACCACATTCGGCTGGTCAAGAGAAGCCTTTAAGTCAAATTGAAAACAAACAAGGAAATGTCTTGTATTTGACTCCTGGGGTCAGGAATGCAAATTCCTTGGCCGAGGCACGCCGGCAAGGAGCAGCATTTGTTTATTGGCCTTGCATGGGGCCCATTTGGCCATTTAGCCATTTAGCTATTTTTCGGACACACACAGGGATCGCATGAATATCTCAAGCTAAAGACGGAAGTTTGATTTGCTAATGAACCGAAAGGATGTCCTGACTGTAAACTTTGCTCGTTGCTGGTCGAAATATATTGGCCAGAAAATCACATTTGATTTGTTGTTTGCGACTTGGCTTTGGCATGCCAGGCACGTTTGCGTGCTGCCACACACAGAGCACACCGAGCACAGAGAGAACATGGTTGGGTCATGTTAGGTGTGCTTTGTTTGTCCATCGGCCCGTTGACTTGTTGCATGCGTGTGTCAAGTGTCAGACGGACGTCAGGACGGAGCCCCTTGGGGTCTATTTAAATGAAATTTTAGCGACAATTCAGCCTCAAGTGCTGAAATGAACCAGCTAATGGCCGTGCTTATGTGCCGGAGGCTTCATTATAATCAACAACATGATGCCAAAACAGCTTTTCTTGCCATTTCATTTGCATGCCATTGCCATAATTTTCCACCTGCCACACTCACACTCACACACACACACACACACACACGTAGACTAGAAATATTTACTCAGCCATTTGACTCAATAATAGGCATGATTGTTTATATGCGGCCCCCATTCGCTCGCCTTTTGAATGCTTTTTATTAAATTGCAGAAGCAACTGGCAAATTTATTGCAATTTCTGCTTCTTCTTTTTCTCCTCTAGCGAAACGTCTTTGGCGCTAACCTTCAGCGGCTGTCGTTGCCATTAGCCAGAAAGCCACCGGATCGCCCCCGCCCCCTCCTTCGGGCGCCCTCCGTGTCTGTGCCTTTGTTTTTGAAGTAGGCAACATTGTGAAAGTGCAAGAAGGTAGAAGAAGCAAGAGGAGGAGAAAAAAAACCCGAAGAAACAACATGGAGAACTTAAGTAAACATTAATTTACATAACTTCTGTGCAAATGACGACAACGGGCAGCGGGCCACCGAGTGGATGTGGGTGAAGATGTGGCTGTGGCTGTGACTGTGGCTGTGGGTCTATATTTCTGGGTAAGGGTGACCCACACACAAGTGAAACAGAAGCCGGATCTGGCTCCGGACGCAGGCGTCAGCTCTCTTGTAGCCCGGCGTTATTAAAAAATTTAAAGCATGTTTTGTGGCGCGGCGCGGGGCGGCGCAGGAGGAGAGGACGAGAGGCGTTCCAGGCGCTTGAAACACTGGCAATATGGCTCTGCTTAGTTGTCAACGCCCCAACATTGGGTGCGCGAATATGTGTGTGAGTGTGTGTGTGTGTGTGTGTGCGGATGTTTGTGTTTGTGATCGACTGCGCACATAAGCAAGCAGCGTTGCTCCTGGTTATTTTTTTTTTGCTCCTGTTTCATATCCTTGTAGCGGCAACCGGCGATTGTGTCAGAGAAGTGCCAACGTCTGTTTTCAATGTTGCCAGCGTCGTTTCCTTTTGTAGCCACTTGTGTGTGTGTGTATGCGTGTGTGTGTGGGTGAGTGGCAGCACTAAACAGTCGGCCATAACAACTGAGACAATCCGCTACAAGGAGCTACAAAAGAAAAGATGTTAAAGAATATATATGGATATATAGAAACGTATATGAAGAATATAAGGGTATACAAAAAAGTCTTATGGTACACAGTCTTACGGTTTATATCATTGCAAGTCCTTTTCCAATAAACTATCTTTTACATTATGTTAATTTTCCACATCACTCTGAATTTAATGCATTTCAAATAAACTATCTCCAACATTTCGATATGCCACATCCGAGTTTATTCATTTTTTGCGTGAATCAAACCTAGCTGAGCCCTTAAATACCCTACACAAGAATTAATCAAGCGAGCTACAATGACAGCGCATATTATTTTCTTCTTTGTGTCATTACCAGAGAGCCAAGCAGTACAGAGCGCCCCAGCCCACAGCGCTAAAAGCAGCCACTCCCCCCACTCCATCTCTGCTCCACACAGCGCAGCTTAGCGAAATTGTTTGCGAAAATACAACACAATATTCAAGAATAATGATGACATTGTTGACTTCAGTGCCCCGCGCGTCATATCAGAAAAAAAGAGAAGGAACAGAGAGAGAGGGAGTGTGACAGAGAGAGGCAAGAAATCCCCATATAACCGCAAGGACATCTTCCGCAGGATTAAACGCCCCGCTTTAGACACTGCAACGCCCACAATGTGACTAAGCGAGAGAGAGAGAGAGAGAGAGAGAGAGAATGATGTATACATATATACAGCCGAAGAAAAGTTGAAAAAAAATGCGATTACCATATTGTATGATATGCGGCTATAACCGGAAAAGCAACGGCACAGAGAGTGGAGACCACGTTGCCCGCTTGGCAAACAAACTTTCGAAATATAAATTGAAATGAATTGAAGTTATGGCATTAGACAGTTTCCGAAATTATAATGTGACATGCAGGCAGAGCAGAGCAGCAGCCCCCAAATCCCCAATGGACCGCACTCTCTATGCAAATTTGCATTTAGAATATGTTGCATACTTTTAAGCGCAGCAGATGTGAGGTATCGGAGCTCATATATAAGGCAGAAGCACAGTCTTTATAGAGTTGACTCGCAAAGGAAGAGAAGATCTGAGCCAACTTTTACTAGTTCTCGAGAAACCAATCAAGGTTCCTTTAAATTTATATTTGATATATTTATATGTATTTCTATATTTTAAGTCAAATCTATATATTCTCTATATATATTATACTTATTTATATATTTTATATTAATATTTATTTTCATATTTTGCATACATTTATTATATTTTATTTGCAACATTTCTAGCTTAATGAGATAATTTAAATTTGTTACAAGCGATAGATTGGATTACATCAATGCTTTAACCTAGGCATAAGAAATTGTAACTGTGTGAACGGTGCTCGTAGAGCTGCCGTCGTGATGAGCATTGCGTTGAGTTGATGATGAGCTAGGCGCTAAGCTAAGGCTAAATAACTAGGGCAGGGCCAGGTGGCGCGCTACCAGCTGAGCTCCTCGGGCAGGCCGCCGGGATACTCGCCCGTGAGGCAGGCCGTGCAGTAGCCCGACTTGAGGGGATTCACGTGCGACTTGTTCATCTGCACCGCCTTGATCAGGCCTTCGACGCTGAGGTAGGCCAGGCTGTCGGCGCCCACGTGGTTCGCCAGCTGCGTGGCGTTCAGCTTGTTGGCAATGAGCTCCTCGCGCGTGGGTATGTTGATGCCCATGTAGCAGGGGTACTGCAGCGGGGGGCTGGCGATGCGAATGTGCACCTCGATGGCGCCGGCGTCGCGCAGCAGCTTGATGATGGGGCCAATCGTGTTGCCGCGCACAATGGAGTCGTCGATCAGGACGATGCGCTTGCCCTCCACGTTTTGGGCGAGGGCGCCGAACTTCTTGGCCACGCCCAGCTGGCGCAGGCGATTCGAGGGCTGAATGAAGGTGCGTCCCACATACCGATTCTTGCAGAGCACCTCGCCAAAGGGTAGGCCCGACTCACGGGCGTAGCCGTGCGCCGCCGCCGTGCCCGACTCCGGCACCGAGCTGACCAGATCCGCGTCCAGCGGCGATTCGCGCGCCAGCTGCCGGCCGCACTGCAGCCGCGCCGAGTAGACCATCTGGCCCTCGAACATGGAGTCGCTGCGCGCGAAGTAGACGTACTCGAAGATGCAGAAGGCCATGCGCTTGTAGTCCGGCCGCTCCACAATGTCCACGGTGCGATAGCCATTGCGCGACAGCTCGATGATCTCGCCCGGCTCCACCTCGCGCACGTAGCGAGCGCCGATGGAGAGGAAGCCGCAGCTCTCGCTACTGACCACCCAGCCCTCGGCCAGCTGATCCTCAATGTTGGCGTGGCCCGCATCGAAGGCCACGATCTTGCCCAGGCAGAGCGGCCGATTGCCATACGAGTCTCGCACGGCGTATATCTTCTCCTTGTGCATGACCACCAGGGAGTAGGAGAGCGGCGCCAGCGTCATGAAGTGGCGTATGCGCGCCGGCCAATTGGGCCCATCGTGCTCGGACACATCCTCCGGCGCACAGCACAGCGACTGGGCGATCAGCTCGCTGTCGCTGTGCGTCGAGAGGCCCACGCCCCGCTCGAGCACCTCGCGGCGCAGCGACTCGCAGTTGACCAGCTCCCCATTGTGGGCAATGGCCAGGGCGCCGTGTGCCGTGTGCACCACGAAGGGCTGGCAGTTGACCACCTCGGAGGCAGCGGCAGTGGAGTAGCGGGTGTGCCCGATGCCCAAGTTGCCCTTCAGCTTGCGTATGGCCTCGTCATTGAAGATGTTGTTGATCATGCCCATGCCCTTGTGCACGTTGAAGTTCTTGGAGCTCTTGCCCATGCTGGTGACAATGCCCGCCGACTCCTGGCCGCGATGCTGCAGCGCCACCAGGCCCAGGCAGATCATCTGTGCAATGTCCAGCTGCAAGCGAATTCAGATTCACACATCAATAATATTCGTGGCAAACGAATGTTTCGAATGTTTCCAATGCCATGGCAACAGCTGACAAGCTGACGACCGATAACGCGCTCTCTGATTCTCTGATTCTCTGATAGTGCACACATATTTTCCTGTTATTTTCCATTTCATTACAAGCAACAACAACAACAACAACAACAACGACTACGACATCAATACTGCAACTGATTTCAAGCAATTACAACCGCAATGCGGCGCTCAGCTTTGCCTTGCATTGACGTCATCGTCATCGTCGCTGGCCTGGGCCTGGCCCCCTCGGCTGCGAAATGGGGGGCTGAACGGGCTGTTTTTTATGACCTACTTGCGATCAGTTTACACTAGAGGAGCTCCGCTCCAATGCCAGCCAGCTGACAGAAGTGATTGACGCAATCACGTGATCAATGAATTTGTGAATCGGAATCAAAGATTTACCAATGATTTCTCAATAAATGCTAAGAAATTCATAAACGAGTGAGCTACAGTGAAACTAAGCTAAATCTGCTGGAGTATATATAGGTATATGTGTGAGATCATTTATAAAATTTATAGAGCTTTCAATCGATTTGCGTTTAATTTAAATCCTTTCAAAGTGAGAAGAAATATATTCTGGTGTCTATTTGGCTTATGCGAGAAACTCTCTGATATGATTTATCCAACTAGAACTAAGTGAATGATCTAGGATAGCGTTTGATCCATCATAGAGATCTGTATGCATAGAAGATCTGTATGCATTGGCCACCAGAGCTCTGTAGTTTAAACTAAAGTTTACTATTTACCTATACTAAGAAAATCATCCCAGAATCCTACATACATATGTATATTTAATATATATCTATTCAAAAGTCTCACTCTCATAATAATATCACCATATCATCGTAATAATCACCTGTGTAGGATATTCGCCGCAGGCAATGGCACCAAACACTCCACATTCGCAGGTCATGCCCGTCACATGGTCTCCCTTGGGCTGCTCCGATTTGTAGATCTTATTGGGAAATACTTTTACGGCTGCACTGCTGGCGACGACTTCTCGCTCCCGGCTGCAACATGACTGAGCATCTGTTGAATAAAGATTTGCGTGTTACTACAGCTGATCCTCGACTGAGCGCACACGCTGCCCTCGATGCTTACCACAAACATTTCCACATTCACTTTCAGCCATAGTCAGTTTTTTATTTATTTTTATATTGATTTCTTCTTGAATCGTGTGTGTATTTGTGTGCGTGTGATCGATCAGTGCACTCCAACTGGCTTGTCGATCGTTTCCTATGTACAAATTGAGACACTTAACACTTGGCACCAGATCTGTTTCCTTCGAGCTCTACTATTCACGTCTGCATTGATTGAATGCCAGTGGAATTATGAGTGTTCAAGTTACAAGCGCGGTATATTAAAGCTTCAAAAATCAAAAGCACTGATCAGCTATATACATATGCATATACATACACATATATACATATACATAATCGTAAGTGTGTGTATATGGCATGTGTACATCATGTAGCTGATGCTGATAACTGCGTCGATTGCATTTTCGCAAAAGGTTCCCAACCGCAGCAGATCACTTGATACTGTTTTCAATAGCACTGCGAATGTACAACAACAACAAAAATAAACAAATCACAGATAAAACAAACAATGCTCGCATTCCATGCCACAAAATTATGTTGAGCGGCTAACTCGATCAACTTCTCATTGATCATGAGGCCAATTGAATTTATAATTGAATAAACGCTTGTATTGATTGCAGCATTCGGTTACCTTGACTCTCGCTGCCAGATAATTTTCCACAGCGATCTTGCCCCATGCTGCGCCGCTTATCACAACTTTGTTGTTATCACCAAGCGGCGCATTGGAAAATGCGTGCAATGACGCATTTTCGTTGACTTAGAAGCGTAAACAATAACAGATTCAAGATTCCAGATTCCCGATTCCCGATTTGTTATTATTTTCCTTTTGCAATAATTGGGCTGCATTATCAGAAGAGTTAATAATACACAGGCCCCCCAAGCAGCTCGATCGATAAGTGGCCAAGCGAAGTCGAACGCACGATCGCAGAGCTGTAAACAAAACCAACAGAAAAGATCTGCTGGAAACTTACGAAATCGAAATACTCTAATAAAATGTTATGTGAATATATATCATATCACAATTTAGAATTGTATATCGATAACTTGTTATAAATCGATCTTTCATTTTGAATCGAGAAATAATTTCTATAACTGGCTATACATTTAAAAATATATATATCCGACAAGAGATCACAAAATGAAATTGGTCAATCCATATAAATTTATCTGTATGTTTTCGATAACAAATCATGCATATTAATCGATCAGTTAATATACTAACAATCTCTTTCCATTTCTAAGCTCTTAGAAAATGGAAGTATCCGGTTTATAATTCAGAATTTAACGGTAATTTTAGTTACCGCATGGCTCTTCCATAGCCTATAAATCTCACACTCGTAAGTCTCATTTAACTGTTTAATATATTCAGGTATACCTGCAGTAACTGTAACTGTAGTAGATGCGATTTATCGCCATTTAGGGCTCATCTATAATTAGCACGCGCACGCTCTTATATTCATGCATATATTATGCATGAAATTATTTATAAACAAGTTGTTTATGTGGTTGCCTGGCTAACTTGTCAGACTGATCGATCGATCAGTTTAACTGATTCCTGAACTAACCTAAGTGAGCTGTTGAGGTGGCCGATCTGATTAGGTGTGCCAAAGTGTGTGTGTATATAGATTACCGTAAACAGGCATAGGTATCAGCATGCTTTACGTATGTAGAGCGCCCCGAGTAGACCAGACAAAATGTGATGATATTTACGAGCAGTATTGCGTAAGATTAGCACGGCGAGGTCTAGACAGAGCATTTCGTGTGCTGTGCATGCTATTAGTGAGAGTTATGTGAGGCACGCATTACCTTCCCATCTTTTATTACCAAAAGAGAAACAAACAAAGCGCCAGGCAAGCAAACATACTTAGTTAATAAGATGCCGCATAATGTGCAAATGAAAATGACCAAAATGACGAGGAAAACCGAAACCCAGTGACCAGTGTCCAGTGACCAGTGAAGAAAAATGGGCAGCCGAAGACGGTGGGGTGGGGCATCGTGGTGGTGTTTTGGCATCGAATGTGTAACCACTTGAATTTCATTTGGCGAAAAGCTTTATCGAAAATTATGCGAATGCTGCTGACTTCTGGCAAGTGGCTGAGGCGGCGAGCGATGGCCAGTTCCTCCTGAACTCTCAACTAACTGCTTAGAAGCCTGATAAAAATCCAGCACACAAAGCTAAACAAACAGATAATAAAGAGGGAAAATGATGCTGCCAAACCCAAACCAAAACCCAAACCCCAAGCCCAGGCATAGAGACAAACCGAAACCGAAATGAACCGCGTCGCATCGCAGGCGGTGGGTGAAAGGGGCAGGAGGTCGTGTGGATTGTGTGGATGCTTCGCATATGTGAACCCCCCGCGTTGTGAGCGTGGCGTCCAGTTGCTGCCCTCTCCCTCTCCAGCGCCCTGCGCTGTGCCGCAGCCTTGGCTCATGCATAATTCAGCAGAATTCTGAATGATTATTCTTTATGGGACTGTTTATTTCTTTTGACCATTTATTTCAAGTTGGTGCGTTGCGTTTTTTTTTTCCTGTTCGCTCTCTGCGTACAGCTTCTTTTTTTTTTGTGCTTTTCATTATTTTTATACAGTTTCCAGTTGCTTGCGCTCGGAATGATTTCGAGCAACGGTGACGCAAAAATCATCAAATGGACAAACGGCGACTGCTCGGAAGGCACTTGCCTTGTCCTGGCCACTGGCCGCTGGCCACTGCCTGTTGGCTGTTGGCATCTGCGTTGTCTATTCAACCAAAAAGTGCCACACCCCCTGGCGGCCACTCAGCCAACCACACATGACTCTGACATCCCTCCCTCCTTCTATGGCCTTCTATTGTAGCTGCTGGACTGCGCCGCTTTCAACGCATCATTTGATTTTATTTTATGTGCCCAAAGTGGCCAAAAAATAAATAAAATAAAACCGAAAAGAGTGAAGACTAGAAAAAAAAAGAAGAAGAGTTTTTATTTGTTTTTGTGTGGCCGCAATTGAATAAAATGTTACTCTAATGTAAGTCGAAGGGGCACTTGCCGTTATTGTCTCTCCACTTGCCAATAGATATTGGCAATAGCTCTGCCAGATAGTGGGCAACGCAGTGCGGTCGCTGCATGAGAATAACTTCATTAGGAAATGGCACACCCATTCACCGACAGGCGACAGATAGCGGACAGCGGACAGCGGACAGCGGACAGCGAACAGCCAAAGGTAGACCCCAGCCTGGGAGACCTACAGAGATCATGTGAACTCTCACGCGTTATCAGAGCAGCAGCAGCAGCGGGCGATAAAGCCGACGCCCAGTCGAACAGAGAACACATAAAAATAATGAATGACTTGATATTTCAAAATACCCTGTATATATCAGTAGCTCGTATATATTCAAAGATTGATAATGCAATGCAATTAGACTAGAAACATACATAGATGAATGTGACTGTGTATATACTCACAATGTAATCAAAATACATTTCTCTTTAAAGGGATATAAAGTGGAGATAAGATTTTAGGCAATAGTAAGGCAAGCCATATATAAGGGAGTTCACACGATTTCCTTTTTTTTATAAATTAAACCCAATTCAAGAAAACATTCAAAGCAGTAAGGCGTAGTCATAGTTGGATTCGTAAAATCAGGCTATCAAATATGAAATCAGGATATATTACATTCCCAAAATGTAGATATATGTATGTATAGTATATAGATATGTGTGAAATCTTCAGTGTGTTCTAAGAAATGATGAACAGCCTTAACGAACTAGTTCTTCACCTTCGACTGTTTAGTTGTCAGTCTATATATAATTCGACCTGCAGCACTCAGAAATGATCTCTTTTAACAAACATTAACTTTTTTCATATTTAATTAATCTAATGATCCAATTGGGCATCTGTATAATGCTTCTAAAACGTAAATAATCAAAATTCATAAATTTACTTAGTATACAGGGTATTTCCCAGTTGACTACTCTAAAATATTATTTTTATCAGTGCAGTGACATTTAAATTCTTTTAATTTTTATAATTTCATAGAAGCTGAAAACCAAGCGCGAGCTAAATTATATATTTAATAGCTATTAATTAGACGATTGATAAATATTGTATAGCTATAATATTATAATAACAAAAATAAATTAATTTGCGAATTCGCCCTCTCTCTCCCTTTGCCAAGTCATCCAACGGATTCGCAATTACAATTGCAGCCCATAAAAGTTTTAATTACGCCAAAAAATCAAAATTTACTTTTCACTCTTGTTTTTGGCGAGTCTGAGCTTTGGCCCGACTGAGTCTTGGCCTGGCTCAATCGTGTCTCTGGCTCAATCGATGGGAATTTCAATTAAAACTAATTGAAAAGCGCATAAACTTTGTCTGTGGCCAAGTAAACAAGACCAGTTCGCCAAGTCGAAGAACTTTGATGGCTTCAATGGCTCAATATTGAAAGGGCAGTTGCTTGCAGCCACGCCCTCCTCCTGCTACTCCTGCTGCTTCTCTCTCGGCAGCTTCCCGCCCCCTCCCAATTGAAGGACAGTTCGTTTGGCAACGTTTTTAATTCGTTTACGTTTATTATTTATTCCGCGGCAAGAAGACAAAAATAAAAACCGCTTTTCTCTTACGGTTTGCCGGGCTTTTCCTTTGCCCTGCCAGCATTTTCCTAAATTGTTGTTCACTGTTTGCTCGCCTTGTTGTTTGTGTTTGCGTTTGTCTTTCGGAAATTCTTTATATACAATTTGCATATACACACTATGTAGTATTTTATATAGATATATACATATATATATATATAGAGACGTCGTTTACAATTTTCATTTAAGCGCGCGCTTCTTATATTTTTGTTTTATTTTTCGACAACATTTGCATAACGAAGCAACAACAACAACAACAACAACAGGAACAATCAGCAGCCTGAGCTGATGTCCTGCTGCTGCGCTCAACTTTTAAGTTGGCTTCGAAACGCGTATTTAGTTGGCATTTGCTTTGCCTTCAATTTGTCCAGCGATGCGTGGGCCGGCACGCCCAGAAGCCCAGACGCCTATGCGCCCAGCAAACGTCGAGCTCTAATTAATTTCCCCAATAACTGTACAAGCCCCGCTAAAGGTAGCAGCTGTCCACGAGGCCAAGATGTATCTGCATCTGGATCTGGATCTTTAGGAACTAGCACAGCAATTGTTGTTGAAGCGCCAAGCCGCATAGCTAATGAGTGAGGGCCCCTAGACAGCCAGACAACAGATCGTAGCCCAAAACTGATTGATGTGTGTCAGTCTAAAGAACAACAAAGAGAGGGAGAAGAGGAATGGGAGGGGGAGAACGTGCCCGAAAACCTTTCGAAACACATAATCTTAATGGCTTTCAAATTGTGGCACATTAAGCAGCTGGTAATTGATATACAAACAAAGTGTGACAGAGAAAGAGGGAGAGAGAGAGAGGGGGGGAGGCTGAGGCTGCCATGTCTACATGTGTAACGACAAGCTGCGCAACTGAGAACAACACAGAGACTGACACAGAGAGACAGAGAGCGAGCGACACCCAGTGAAACTCGTTCGCAAGTTAATTAAAATTTCAGAAACGTAAATTGAATTACGAACACAAATTGTAAACGACTCGTCTCCACTCGCTCAGCCACCAACTGCTCCAGTTACGCGTGAGAATTTCAGCCCACTCTCTGCATAAAATTTCGATTCCGACTATCGAAGGGAATACGGCGACACATTCCCAGGAAGACAGGAAGGCTGCTCAATGGCAGCCAATAATCATAAAATTTAATAAAGGTATTTCGCTTGACCGTTAACGCGCTGCGAGTCTCCCTCTATCGCCCCCCTCTCTCTCTCTCACTCTGTGGCTAGGACGCACACTGCCGGCAACAGTGGGTTAATGTATGCAAAACGCATTCAAATTTTATGTATCGCCCGCAACGATCTGCTCTATCCACTTACTACCTCCCAACGGCAACAACAACATAATTCGCTCTGCATTTGGTTGCCTACCTTTCATGTGTTCCATGCGAGCTCTGTGGTTCGCCCCTGCCTCAGTTCGTGGTGCTACATCTGAGTGTATGTATGTATGTATATGTATATATTGCATGCTCTATTGGGTTTTGGGCAATGCTCGTATCTATGGCACTTAACGGACGCGGCCTTCTCTGCATGTAAATTGCATAGTTTGAGACACTTTGGGTCAGCTAATGAGGGCGATTTGCAGGCGCTCGTCTGGCATGGGAATGAGCTGGGAAAAAGTCGCGTTGTCCACTGATATATATAGAGCAGAACAAGGTCAATGGTAGAGTTAACTGATTCAAGCATAAATCAAGCCATTAAATTGAAAGCTTAGATAGCTAACTAGGTGCTACAATTTATGTAAAAACTGACAGAGCTATTAAGAGTCAGGCACATGGAATTAAATCTTTATTAAAGTTATCATTATTATTGTCATTAGACTATATCTCTACTATTAGACAGCAGCCTAACTCTCAGTGTTTAATAAACAAAAGCAAACTGAATTGAAATTTACTTTTCCAAAACATTCTTCTGCCCAATCCTAATCTTCCATCTTAAACTTCAAGATCTTCCTCTTAAAAAGATATATGTATTTTTATTTACTAGCTCCAACTTAATTGATGGCTCTCACACTTCGCCCAAGAGGGCTATCTAAATTTAGTGACTCGTTTATCTTCGTGCGAAATCTGAGGAGAAACTAAAAACGGAAAGCACTAAAAAATCTCGCATATGCTCAAGCCATTGCGATTGCCACTCGAGGGTTTACAGACAATTGCACTTTATGAACCGCAAATCGCATCAATTATAAGATGAACTCGCTGTGCAGTGCTGTGCAAAGTTTTACAACTTGGCAAACAAGTCGACGACGCTTAAGTTTTGGCAATAAATCAAATTTGCTTCAAGCCATAAAAACGCCACACATTAGCACAACAAAAAGGACGCAGGACAAAGCGCGCTCCCACTCTCGCTCTCTCTCGGATAGTCGTAAATCTGAAAATCACTTGTCGCGATTTCTAGCTGCCCTGCTGCAGGCAAGGACTCGGCTCAAGGACTCGCAGAGGCGCATTAAATTTTACGCATTATTAGAAGAAGCCAACACAAAGGATAACAACGAAAAATTAGGCACATTTGCGGTTAAACGCAGGGATGTCAGCCTGTCAAATGTCCTCGACTTGGCCAAAGGCAGGGCAAGCAGTAGGGGTAGAGCCAGGAGCCAGGAGGGCCGGGGTTGGTTGTGGAGTTTAGCGCTCGTCGCATCATTCCACTTCATTGGCGGCTTTTGTAACATTTGTTTGTGACGTTAATTTATACAATAATTGTGACAAGGACCAAGGACCAAGGACCAAGCAGCATTTGGCCGCATGCGCTGCCCCAAAAGGAAACTTCCACTCCCGACTCCATCTACGCTGACTCGGTTAGTTAATATATAAACGCGAGCCGACATTTGACTAAGGTTTTTAATACGCATCTCTTCATCCGGACATTGGCCATTGGACAGCGCTGTCTGACGTCACGTTTTTAATGGAATTTTAATGTATTTGTTGTGCGCAGCTTTTACATGCGAATCAGGCTTGGAATTTCACAGAATTTATTCTAAATTATATTCATATAAATGTTAAAAAAGTTGCATGGCCTGCACACACACACACATGTGACACATGAATATTGAAAGTGTGTGTGTGTTCCTTATACACGCTCCAGTCTGTGCTTTGCCAGCTCCAACTTTCATTACGAAACGCATCTCATATGAGAAAGTTTTGCGGCCCAGTGACAAGCGGCCAGCCCCTCCCCCTCAGACCCGGCCCATTTCTGCAGCTGCCACATCCACCTGAGACAGACAGGTGTTAAAAGCCAGGGGTCTGCATATATTAATATCCCAAATGCGAATGTTACGGCACAGGCACAGCTTAGCAAAAAAAGAACTGAAAAAAATAAAAATAAAAAACGAAAGAAAAACATTAAAATTTTCATGAAAAATGTCATCAACAAAAGTTTGAAATGCAAATAATTTTGTTGTTGTAGTTGTAGCTGTTGCTGCTGTTGTTGTTGCTGTTGAGTGCTCTTCGGGCGGACAAAGAATGTCTCTGCGGCAGACACACATCAACACACACACACACACACACACAGTAGTGTGATATATCCATTTGATATGCTTAGCAACTGCGTGAGGAATGGAATAAATATAAAAAATATAAGCATAGTTTGCTTTTTGGGGCTACGCTTTTGGCACACACATCACGAACGTGGCGATGAAGCCATCAGCCGTCAGGCAACGGGCCCAGCGGCATTAGAATGCATTTAGAAACGCATTTATCATCACGTCGGGATTTGTATTTGGCTCAGGAGGCAGGAAACCACATTGCACACTCCAGGCACAATCAGCGAGCAAATCCGCAGCCGCTGATCGATTATGATTGATGTGTGCTATAAAGAGCGGCAGATAAGAGATTGGAAGAGTTCCATATATATGATAAACCAATTGCAATTAAAATTTAAATATAGATAAGTGCGCGGGCGTGGCTCTACGTGATTTCATTAGCAAATCGCAGAGAAATCAAATCAAAGCCAAAGCCTGGCCAGGCCGCAGCTCTGGAGCTCGGCTGCTCGCTCCACTGCTGCAATGCTGCGAGGGTGTCTCTGGCTGTCTCTGGCTGTCTCTGCTTTCTTGTCCTTATGGCCGCACTCAACGCTCAGCACTTGGCTGCACTCAAGTGTCGCGACGTCGCCATTAAGGCATTCGCCACGCTCAATTCGCAACATGGACACGCGGAGTCCGCATCAGCAACAGAGCCAGCTCATACGAGTGGCAACAACAGTTATAATATAAAAATGGCGTCTTAAGTCAGTTGGCTGACGCCCCCAACTGTGCGAGCGAGTCATTAGCTCGGCTCAAGAGCTTTTATCTCGCCACTTGAACGCATCTTAGCCTACCCCGGCTCGAGAACAACAGCCTCCCATTCTCCCGACTTCCCCCTAGCCCAGCTGCTCTTCCACTAACTGTCATTGGCAGTCGCCATTTTCTACTGCTCTCTCACACTCTCTCTCCCTCTCTTTCTGTCTGTATCTGTTTCTCTATATTTTCTGTTAATTTCCATGGCGCAATTACACGCAACTGATAAGCACACAAATTGCACCCAGATTAAAAAGCGAGCGGGAACAAGTTTTATGGCTCGCCCGTCGCGCTCAACCGACTCGACCGACCGACTGGAGCCGACATAAAAATTAAATCATTTCACTACAATTGTCGAGCTGCAAGAAAAAAACAATGGAATTATCTAAATGAAAGATTGCACTGAACAGTCTGAAGACATTCAATTTAGTTGGTTTGCAATTGCTTCGAGTATAGCAAGGGATATAAAGAGAACTTTAATAGTAGAATACTCTGCCTTATAATGCAGCATCTTCTCAGCTTGCATATCTACAGTTATAATACATATTGATAGTAGACAGTCTTCATATACCAACTATTGTTTTTAGGGAATACCGTCTAGTAAGATTTTTCCTGAAACATACTTTCCCTAAGTTGAATTCATCTGCGGCATTATTTATATGTTATATAGAAGCTGATTATGAATAAGCTAAATTTGTTTGCATAATATTACAGGAGAAGAACAAGAAAGAGGTTTACCTAAGCGAAATGTTAAGGTTAAATAAGATGTCAAGGTTAAATAAGATGTTTTATCGAATAAAAGTTGCCAAAGAATCTTCTGTTCACACTCTATATTAGTTTTCCCACTTAAGTTCGTATAAGTGAATCAAAGACCTTTAAAGAAACGAATATATAAAACATATATAAAATGTTTTGCTACTACAATATTTCTAGGCTTTCTTTGCACTCTCTACTCCACACTGTATAGAGCACTCGAGTTTCGACTCTGATTCCCTTTCAATGATTTCTCATTCGTGTTTGATTGCTGAGTTGTCAAGAATTAAGCGAGCATTTTACGAGCGCTATAAAAGCAGCAGAACGACATATGTAAGTTCCGAATCAAAGAGTCAGATTGTATAAATGGAGAATCGTGGATAAATCTATTAACTAATTAAAATAGTTGCAGAACATAAAATCGAACGGCGCACATGCGGCAATCAATTAATTCTGTGCGTGGGCGTCGCCGGACAAGCGTGTATCAATTATTTTAATGATGCCCCGGGCCGAGGGGGCGACCGAGCTGATGGTCACTGTCCGTTGCTCACATTAGGATGCACCCCTGTGCAGTGGTCAGACAATTGACAGTTTGTCAGCAAAGAGAGGGCAGGGGCAGAGCTGCTCAATGAGGCGTTGAGGTGCGGATTTGTATATCGAGCTGAACGGAAAGTCAACCCTCGAATGCGATTTTAAACAATTTGAACAATTTGTTAAGCAATTTGCGGTTGACGCCTCTGCCACACTATTAACAACAATAAATTAGTTCGATTTGTTGCCCGGGGTGCCACACCCACGCGGGGGCAGTGGCCAGCTCATACCATTAAAATGAATTCGACATTCTGTTAACACTAATGAGCCACGTTCCCAAGTGCGCATATGTGCGCGATTTATTGGCAATTTAATTGGAAAATTCATCGAGTTTTAATTGCTCATTAGGAAGTGTCGACTTGACTTGACTTTTGCATATAAATTGCATTCGAGATTTGTTGCCAAATGCCGCAAGACGATGCAAATTTTGCGCAATGCAAAAACTTAAAGCTCCGCAGCCGCAGCCTCAACTCGAGATACGCGACCACAAGCTGCTCTCCAGCCACGCTTATCTCGGCGAGGAGTGATGTGGCCGCAGGAATTAATGCAGTTCTTCGTCCGATTTGCATAATCGCTGTCAACTCCAACCCAAAGCCGAAAAAGTCGGCCCCGGCCCCGGCCGTAGTCATGGCTCACTCACTCATGCAATTGACACACATCATTTCACGCACTGACGCCTTTCAATAAACCAAATTTATCACAAGCGCACAATCTAACTAGTAGCTGAAAGAGAGGAGAAGAAGAGAATGAGTGAGAGAGAGAGAGAGGGAGAATCAACAATTTAAAATCCTTGAACATATTTGGGAAACGACAATCGGGACACGGGACACACGCGCCCGCTACCAAAACAGATACAAGTGTAATCAGTCAAGCGTTTTGTCAGCCATACACAGAGTGACATCATCATCATCATCATCATCATGGCTCAGCCAAGGACCTTGTCAGGAATCTGCATATCAAAAAACCCAAACAGAAAGGAGGAAAAAAAAACCTCGAGCCCTTACCCCGAATTGCTGCGATGAGTTCGCTTCGTGTCGCACTCTGAAAAGGGTTGTTGATTAGAGACCGTTCAGGGTTCGTGAACCATGAATGAACGGATGATGGCTCGGTTTGCGGTTCGCCTGCCACGCCAAGGTGCGACACCCACCACAGCAGCAGCAGCAGCAGCAGGCCAAACCAACTGCAATCCGCTCTGAAATTATCCACACTAATGCCAGAAGCCTCAACGCAGTTATTTTGTAAATCTCGACGCATTCTGTTGATGTTTTTAATTAATTTTCAACGCCAGCGCTGACAGCCCTCGGTTTGGGTTTGGGTTTGGGTTTGGGTTCGGAATCCTCCAATTCGCTTGTATTTTTTGATATGATAAACATGTTGAGGTGTTGATTTCTGATCCGCATTAATTTGTCAATCGCAAGTCGTGCGTTTTTATTCCTTCTTGGAGTGAGCTAATCCGACTCCTGTTTGATGGGCTCATCACGGCTCTAGATGACATCACAAATTTAATGTAAATTGCACGAAATTCCTGATTAGATTTGATAAGATAATAATATACAACAATTCTTTAAACATTTTTCGTAAATTTATTTTGCCTGAATTTGAAACATTTCAAACTTGAAGCGAATGTAACTCGATCATTTCCCAAAGTATTGCTGCCAGTTTGCTAAGACTCGTAGAGACGAGGCCCGATTGCGACTTATTAATAAGGCCAGTGGACGACTCCTGCTGCTTGGCGGAGCTCAATCAACATTGCATTGATTCATAAGCCTCATTACGACACCCAGCACAGCACAGGCAGTTGATATGCTGGCCAGGGCGTCTGCTCCTGCACCCGCTGCTGGCCATGCCCGAGATGTTTTCATCATGAGCTGCTAGCCGCAAACGGCAAACTGACAATTGTAACTACAACTACAACTAGTTGTTGTTGCTGTTGTTGTTGTTGTTGTTGTTGGCCTGCCGGCCATTCTGCACATTCACAAAATTGATTTCATTCACAACATGCCACGTTTGCCTCATTAAATCATCACTCAGAAGCTATCAATGTTCGATTTGCCATTGGCCAACATATGCTTCCAGCTGCCTGGTTGATATTCATGTAAAAATCGCTGAAAGCGCACAAAAATGCAAGTTGCTCGGCAGGGGACGGAAGATGGGAGACGACGGCCGGGCGAAGAGAAGGGCTCCAGTGAAGCAAATTAATTATGAATCAGAGAACAATGTAATTACATGAAATCCGATCGATGAACATGGGGCCCACTGGCACAAAAGGCAGTGAAAAACGCTCGGCCAGAAAATGCAATTGACATTTTTACAACGTTGTTGTTACAAAGGAACGCTAACCATGTCGCCTGGCAGCCGAGAACAGCAGGGAAAGTTGCTTGAGAAACATGACAAATATCTGTGACAATCGACTGATTGTTGGGTGCCAGCATCAGCTGCAGTTTCAGCTGCAGCTTCAGCTTCAGTTTCAGCAGCGAACTGCAGCCATGTGGATCCATGGAACCCGTTTGCGCACGCGTGAATGCCGCTGAGCCAGCGGGAATTGTTTAATGGCGCTAAACGGCCTGTTGTGCCAGCGGATGCAGTTCGCTCCAAAAACTGATTCCCAACCCGCTGTCCGCTGCCCGCTGGCCGCTGCCCGCTGACTGCTCACTGCTGACTGCTGTACTAATAGTTAAAGATAAATATCACAGCGGGTTGGCAGCGTAGCTTTAAGGCCAAAACCAGCCGACGGACTACGCCTACATTCTGTCTAAAAGCGAACCCAACATCTGCCAAACAACGTAGCAAAAAAACCAAATGGAATTGACTACAAAGCAGCTCCGCCTTTTTCGCATTAGTTGGAGCATATAAAAAGGAAAATAACAAACCCTAAAAAAATACAAAAAAACAAAGGGTTGTGTACGCAAAATGTTAGACTAAAGTCAGCTAAATGTGGCCAAAATATTTAAAGCTATTTTTACTTACTTTTTCATGAATATATATGTATATAATAAAATATAATAATTTTTGCTTGTTTTAAATTTGGCTAAAAATTATTTTAACATAGTTTCCTTAAAGCATTGAAATATTTTTATATATACATCAATTTTTATTTTTCTTTTTCTTCTTTGCATTGGCAACTGCGCATGGAAAGTTTTTTGCATTAGAGCTCCTCCTATTTTGAACGCGCGAATGGCAAAGCGCACACTACTCACACAGAGAGACAGTTGCCCTCACACACACAAACACACACACACACACAGTCACACAGATAGGGAGCGAGTAGGAGCTCTCTCACATACGGCAGCTGGCGCAGCTTCGACTATTTTCGTAGCATACTTTTAGGTGGTGGCTGCATCTTCGTACGAGCGGGAGTGTCGCTGCTTATATACCCGCCACTTGTACATACGAACTATGTATATATATTCTGTTTTACCCTGACTGTCACTGCACTGTGGCACGCCCACCTGCCCAACTGCCCACCTGCCCACACGTATATTTCAATTTGTCTGCAGCTTGAAAATTGCTTTTTTGTGCATTTTGTCAAATGAATTTTCCACGTCTCTCACAGAACTTATTTGGAATTTGTTTGCAGCATCTCTTTGCTTGATTTATACGCATTATGTTTGCTTTTTTTTGCTTTCTCCTCCCATTTTTTTTTTCTCTTTTTTGTCATCTTCTTTTACGGCGCTGCTGAAATTCTTATCTCGTTGTCAACTAATTTTGTGATTGCACGCTGCGAGCCAGCGAGCTAAAAGACAGAAACGCTCTGAATTTAAATTGGATTTTTGCGCACATTAAAATGCATTTTACATGGTGTTAGTTATGAATGCGAATATGGGAAAATAACGAAGCCCCAGCCAACCCGGCAAACCCAACCCAGCCCCAACGTTGGGGCCAACAAATAGCCAAAGCTGGCCCGAACTACACTAAATGTTTACGTTTCCTGAGCGTTAGCAAACATTTAGCAATGTTTCCACAATTCGCAAATAATTGCCGGCATACCAAGAGTGAATGGAGCCATAAAACGAGGCCCAGCCCGGGTCAGCTGACGTGACGGCTGGCCACAAAATGCACAGCCAGCTAAATAAAAGGAATACAACACAATATAAGCTGAAAAAAAATGCCCAATGTAACGAAATACTCGTTACGTGGCCATAACACAGAACATGGCTAATTCTTGCATGACAATTTCACATTCATAACCCTTTTGTCCACGCTGTCCGCTTTTGGCTGGCTGCCAGTCTTCCGACCCATAATTATGCTCTCCCTATAAACTTCAACAGCGCTGGGGCATTGCGACCTGATCAAGGCGTTTACCACGCAGACATTTCTGATCTTTCTCTCTCTGTTTTAATCCCTTTATATATTTTTCTTTTTAATCCTTTCTCTCTCTCTCTCTCTCTCTCTCTCTCTCTCTCTCTCTCTCTCTCTCTCTCTCTCAAACTCTTTCTTTCTATCTGTCTCTCTCTTTAGATCTCCCTCTCTCTCTTTATTTATGTACCCCTCTCATTCTCACCCTCTCTCTGTCTGTTACTCTCTCCATCTGCCTCTCTCTCTCTCTCTCTCTATTTATATTTATCTCATTCTCTCTCTATATAACTCTCACAATATGTCAATCTCTGTCTCTCTGTCTCGCTCTCTCTCTCTCTCTCTCTCTCTCTCTCTCATTTTCTCTCTATTTCTTCTCTCTCCCTCTCACCCTCACCCGAGCTCTGTCTTTCTATCTATTTATCTCTCTCCTTCTCTGTTTATCTCTCCCCCTCTCACTAACTGTGTCTCCCATCTTTCTGTTCCTCTTTCTCTCTCTCTCTATCTATCATTCTCCGTCTCTATTAAATTTTACTGAATTAAACCTTGATCTACAGAGAACCTTCTAGTCGAGCATTCCCCGCTTAAATATCCCTAGACATTTTTTATATATATATGCTGGACAGCTTTTTTGTAAGCCGCGATTTGCGATTGTTCTTTTCAAGCGTTCTGTTAATTGTTAATTTTTATGGTCTGGCAATTGCCGCAGCAACAGCAACAACAACAAGCACAGCGACAACAATCAGATGAGACAGACAACGAGAGCCAGTGAAAATGAAGAAATTAAAGTGCCGCAGAAAGGCAAAGACTGGCGCTGGAGCTGGTTTTGGGGCTGGCCAACAACTAGAGGCAGCTAGAAGTGGCAGCGCCTATAAAAACAATTTAGCCAGGCTATAAAATACCGAAAATAGCTTCAAAATTGAATTTCCAAGATGCGTGCAACGTTTTATTGATAGCCAGATAGAGATACCTACATACCTAGTATCTATATATGTAAGTGGGTGTGTGTATGTGTGGGTGTGTGTGGGAATTGGGCTCTTTAGCGATTGCCTGCCAACACACCCACAGCAACAAGAAACATCAAAGCCCAAACCAGTCAGCGAGACCATTAAAGGCGATTCGCTTCTTTTTTTTTCAAATATATTTATTTTGATACTCTGATACTCGGGCAACCCTTTCACGCACTTACGCAGCCAAAGCAAATATTGAGTGCGAATGGAGGTGGGGAGTTGGGTTGGGTTTGGGTGGTGTGGTGTGGGAGAGAGTATTTCAATTTTAAAGTAAATATTTGCCTCCAGGGTGCTCTTGATATTTATTACCTTTTTTTTGGGAAAGAACTGCTCGCCGGGCATCGATAGGGCACTGGTCAGTAGTGGACATTAGCCAAGAGCAATTTAGGGCCATAAATTTGCGACTTTCGAGTGGTGGCAAATGGCGTTAAATGCGCCAGCCTCAGCGACTGTCAATTGGCAAACAAATTACAATTATGCTAGAGTCCCCGAGTCGACCATAATGGTCTAATAGCCGACAATCCCCATGAATAGACAGCTGACAAATGATGCCGGAGCTGGGCGACATTAAGCGATTAACTCGTTCCTCGGCGGCCCGAGAGCCGGAGCTGGCGAAGAGGCAGGTGGAACTTAACATATTGTTAACGTGGGCAAGCGAATGTCTTAAGGGGATTTCAGTGTCCTTGCCTGATGATGCGTTCGCTGCGCTCTCTACTCTCTCTCTCTCTCTCTCTCTCTCTTGCTCTCTGCTCCGGCCGGCCAATGACATGCAAATATATGCAGATCTGCGCTTTTGTCATGTCAACGCAGGCAAATCGAGAGGTAACCCAAAAAATTTTCTAACCAACTTAACTTGTCGATTTTATTTTGGCTCTCTTCGCATTCTTTGGCTGTATAAATTGTACTCCTTTTTGGATATTTGCTTAAATCTGCGCGCATGTTTTCTGTGGTAAATAAAAAATGCAAAATAAATGCGTAAATCTCTGGAAACTGAAAGAAAGGTCGGGGCCCACTGAGCACAGCAGCATGGTAAATGTGTCTGCAAACTTTTTGCAGGTGCCATCCGTAGCTTTTGTGTGTCTGGACGATTTCAGATTTCAGTTTCAATGCAGACGAGCACAACAACAACAACAATGACGACAACGACAATGTTGGCAACAACAAGCAGAGACAGTTCATCAACTTGACTTGTGATTTCCGGTTTTTTTTTTTCCTTTCATTCTTCTTTTTTTTCTTTGTTCCTCGTTACTTGCTTTAAAAGCGGATTAGGCGAAGACAACGCCCACGGTGGCATGGGGCTGGCAAAGGCTTAACGTGCATGTCTGATAGTTGACTTGGGTATGTATGCAAAGCCTATAAGGCATGGAACAGACTGGAAACGCTAAGGCGGCAAGGCAAGTGAGAAGTGCATAGAGGGGCGAACGAAATAAAACTGAAATAAGAAGGCAATAATTAATGACAGCTACGGCTAGTTGGGCATGAAATACAAGAATACTTATGGGAGCAAATGTATATAATATAAGAGAAAAGCTTAATGCCATACTTCCATTAAAATAATATAAAAGATTAAAAAACTTAAAACACATCTAGAAGAAAACTTATATGCAAAGAGCTGCAGCAAAGTGAGAAGTGCATAGAGAGGCAAACATTTATTATGCTGCATTAAACATGAAAGAACATACAAATAAATATGAATAAACATATTTTATTCAGTATAAAAATACATGAAAAAATATTGAGGAAATTAAATATTGAAAAATAAAAATATTTTTATGGGAAAAATGAAATTAAATTATATATAAGTATATATTAAATAGATAAATTAAATTTTTGGCAATACTTAAAGTGTGGAAACAATGCAAATACATCCTTTGATCCATATATTAGGCAACTCACTCGCTCGCTTTTTTACAATTGAAAAATTCTTGGCCAAAAAAATGTAGAGGAGAGCTCTGTACATGGCAAGCTGAACAGCTGGCGCAGCTTGTTTGGAATTCTCACATCGTGAACCATGTTTAGAAGAGCCCACCAACGCCCACCCAGTGCCGAGAGGCAAGGTGTGTGCCACACCCACCACCCACCACCTACCACTCGGCATGGATGGAGTTGGCATATGCGTGGCACGGCGATGCAGCAAAAACAAATTTCGAGCGTAGAAAAAATAAAGCGAAAATGTTTTAACGCTTCGCCGCGTAATGACAACAAACAAATCGCTTCATTTAACAAATAATAGCTGCCAGCAGCGACGCCAAAGAACAAACAGCAGCAACAACAACAACAACAACAACAACTGACAGTAAAAACAATTTACGGCACAAAGAATTTTCAACTGAAAAAATAATCGCTTATTGAACACGTCGCCGACGCTGAAACACACAAAAGAAGCACACGGCCCACATGCCACGCCCACAAAACGAGTGGCACTTGTGGCAGGCGTCGCGTCGTTTGAGCTGGAGATCACACGAGCGTGCATATTTGGCAATTAAAACGAAATGCGAAATGCGAAAAGCCAACGATGGGCAGCCAACAGGTGAACATTAATTATGGCACGCCTACAGCAAAGGTAGAGTCATGGCGAGGGCGTAGACAATGCATGAGCATTTTGCTGCAACTGGAATGAGAATGAGAATGAGAATGTTGCTGCCGCAGCCATAACATGGCCCCAATTAACAACAAGGCGGCTTACAATAGCCAAACTGTAATTATCAAGATAATAACCACAATTCGTTTATGAGGAATGGCCACAAAGCACGCAGACTAGACACACACACACACACACACGTAAAAAAGGTGAGACAGAAGCTTAAGCAGTTATCCAATTGCCGTGCAAGATAAAGCTTAATGAATATTTCCAATTTCTTTAGCTATGCCCAAATCACTAAATACTCCCATTTATTATTGTATTATACCCAGACCTAAGCAACTAGCGATAAGAAGGACTTATAAAAAGCAATAGACTACGGTTACAGCCCAGACAGTGGACTGATCGTTCGCTGGTGAGGTATGCATCTAAAACTTGTGCTGCTATTGGCCTGCCTGGGCCTGGCTAGGGCTGGCGAACAGGTGCGCTATGACAACTACAAGCTGTACCAAGTGCAAATCAATCATTTGCAAGACTCCCAACTGCTGCGTGAGAATGAGCAAGTGCTGAAGGTAAGTTCTGATCTATCACTGCGCATTTCCCTAAAGCCCTTTCTCCGAAACAGCTCGATACATGGCGTGAGGCGCGCAATCTGGGCGAGTTCTCGGACATTATGCTGCCGCCTCAGTACCAAGAGACGTTCGAATCGCTGCTCAACCGCCACAACGTGAGCTATATTCTCAGGTTCGACAACGTGCAGCGGATGTTCGACGCGCAGCGTCCAAGGCAACGAACGAGCTCGATGGAGTGGACCCAGTATCACACTCTGGACGAGATCTACGCCTGGCTGGATCAAATCGAGAAGCTTTACTCGCACCTTGTGACGCCCTTTACGATTGGCAAGTCCTATGAGGGTCGCCCCATTCGTGGCATCAAGATCTCCTACAAGCCGGGCAACGGCGCCGTCTTCATCGAGTCGAATATTCACGCGCGTGAATGGATCACCTCGGCTACCATCACGTACTTCATCAAAGAGCTTCTCGTGCCGCGCAATCCGGCTGTCAGAGACATAGCGCAGGGTGTGGACTGGTACATAATACCTGTGCTAAATACGGACGGTTTTGTATATTCACACGAAGTGGTAAGCCCCCATAAGCAATTGGGTAGCACCATAATATATTGCCTCTAGTCTGCCGACCAGATTACGAGGCGCTTTTCTGCCTTATCATTCGCATCGGCAGCTATTCCAGTTTTTGATTATCTTTATGATTTGTTTTCTATTAGGATCGTGGTTGGCGAAGATCGCGTTTGCCCTCTGATCCCACAGGAAAATGCATAGGAACCGATCTGAATCGCAACTTCAATTATCGCTGGATGCGTAAGCTAATGTCTATACAAACTGGTATATCTATTAATAGTATTTATAAATTCCCCTTCAGAGATTGGCGCTTCTGCTGATCCTTGCGAGCAAACTTATGCTGGTCCCTACGCAGAGTCCGATCCGGAAATCAGTCAGCTGACGAGCTACATAAACAACTCCATACCCGAGGGCAGCATTAAGATCTATATATCTCTGCATTCCTTCGGCCAATATGTGCTCTCGCCCTGGGGCCATACGGCTGAGGAGTTTCCCGAGCACTATCCACAGATGATGGCTGTGGCCAAGGGATTCGCCGATGCTGTCTACAGGCATAATGGCACGGTGTTTAAATATGGCTCCAGTCCTACGATTCTGTGTAAGACTCGTCTATTTATAGAACACATGCAACTAGTTAACTCTCTAATATTGTAGACGAAGTTTCTGGTTCTGGTAAGGAATGGGCTTATGCTGTGAAGAACATTATCATACCCTACACCATAGAGCTGCCTGACAAGGGCAAATTCGGTTTCGCATTGCCTCCCGAGTATATCATACCCGTATCACGTGAACTCACTGAGGGATTTGTGGGCATGATACAGGCAGCTCGTGAAATTGATGTACTCTAATAAAGCACGACTCCAAATACTTTAATATTCTAGCCTTTATCTGGTAGAGTTATTCCAAAAATAAAGTCTCTTCAGCAATTGAAAAAGAGCTAAAATTAGCTGGGTAATATTTCAAAGTTGTGGCCAAAAACCTTGACATGCTGCTTCCTTCACATTTCATAACTGCGACTCAGCGCATACGTGAAAAGCTGCCCGAAAAATGTTTAAAGAAGCAAATTGAACTTGAGGCAAACATGCAACTTCCTTCCTAGCGGGGCTCGATTCGCTTATCCTTGGTCCTTGGACACTTTTCGCATGGCATGCAAAACTGCCATTTGTGGAGCTGGGACATTTTAAGGCTAATTAAATCCACAACATGTGGCTACGAAAAAAATGAAAAAAAAATAGAAACGAGAACAGCAAACGGAGGCAAATGCTAAACACTTTCCGGCATTGACATTTCTTTCAGTTCGTTGCAGATATTGCGCATACGCCACGTCTGCATCGGACTCCCGATTTATGTAATGTCAATGTTTTTAGCCACAATTAACAAGAGCTGACAGCGGCAAAAAAAGCACACCAGGAAGCGGCTGCCCGCGATATTTATGGCATTTTAAGGACTGGCATTCGGCTAACAGCGCGACTCGCTGTCTTAAAGCTCTTTTCGCTGAGTATTTTGGGCCAAAACACTAAATACAGCCATTTATTGTATTTTACCTACACCTAAGCAACTAGCGATAAGAGGAGCTTATCAAAAAGCCATAGACTGTGGCTAAAACCCAGACAGTCGACGACTGATCGTTCGCTGTTGAGGTATGCATCTAAAATTTGTGCTGCTATTGGCCTGCCTGGGCCTCGCCAGGGCCGCCGAACAGGTGCGCTATGACAACTACAAGCTGTACCAAGTGCAAGTCAATCATCTGCAAGACTCCCAACTGCTCCATGATAATGAGCAAGTGCTGAAGGTAAGTTCTGATCTATCACTGCGCATTTCCTCAAAGCCCTTCCTCCGAAACAGCTCGATACATGGCGTGAGGCGCGCAATCTGGGCGAGTTCTCGGACATTATGCTGCCGCCTCAGTACCAAGAGACGTTCGAATCGCTGCTCAACCGCCACAACGTGAGCTATATTCTCAGGTTCGACAACGTGCAGCGGATGTTCGACGCGCAGCGTCCAAGGCAACGAACGAGCTCGATGGAGTGGACCCAGTATCACACTCTGGACGAGATCTACGCCTGGCTGGATCAAATCGAGAACCTTTACTCGCACCTTGTGACTCCATTTACGATTGGCAAGTCCTATGAGGGTCGCCCCATACGTGGCATGAAGATCTCCTACAAGCCAGGCAACAGCGCCGTCTTCATCGAGTCGAACATTCACGCACGTGAATGGATCACCTCGGCTACCATCACATACTTCATCGATGAGCTGCTCGTGCCGCGCAATCCGGCGGTCAGAGACATAGCGCAGACTGTGGACTGGTACATAATACCTGTGCTAAATACGGACGGCTTTGTACATTCACACGAAGTGGTAAGCCCCCATAAATAGTTTGGTAGCCCCACAATATATTTGAGATTAGATTGTATCCAAACAACATAAGTGCCGACACGATTACGAGGCGCTATTCTGCCTTATCATTCATATCGGCAGCTATTCCAGTTTTTGATTATCTTTATTATTTGTTTTCTATTAGGAACGTCTTTGGCGTAAATCGCGTTTACCCTCCGATCCCACAGGAAAATGCATAGGAACCGATCTGAATCGCAACTTCAATTATCGCTGGATGCGTAAGCTAATGTCTATACAAACTGGTATATCTATTAATAGTATTTATAAATTCCCCTTCAGAGATTGGCGCTTCTGCTGATCCTTGCGAGCAAACTTATGCTGGTCCCTACGCAGAGTCCGATCCGGAAATCAGTCAGCTGACGAGCTACATAAACAACTCCATACCCGAGGGCAGCATTAAGATCTATATATCTCTGCATTCCTTCGGCCAATATGTGCTCTCGCCCTGGGGCCATACGGCTGAGGAGTTTCCCGAGCACTATCCACAGATGATGGCTGTGGCCAAGGGATTTGCCGATGCTCTCCACAGGCGTAATGGCACGGTGTTTACTTATGGCTCCAGTGCTACGACTCTATGTAAGACTCTTCCATTTATAAAACACATGCAACTAGTAAACTCTCTAATATTGTAGACGAAGTTTCTGGTTCTGGTAAGGAATGGGCCTATGCTGTGAAGAACATTATCATACCCTACACCATAGAGCTGCCTGACAAGGGCAAATTCGGTTTCGCATTGCCTCCCGAGTATATCATACCCGTATCACGTGAACTCACTGAGGGATTTGTGGGCATGATACAGGCAGCTCGTGAAATTGATGTACTCTAATAAAGCACGACTCCAAAACTGGGAAAATACTTTAATATTCTAGTCATCTGGTTAAGTTTAATTTCTTTGGAATTGTTTATATACGTCATATTTGACAAAAAGAAAATCTCTTCAGCAGTTGGAAAAGAGTTAAAATTAGCTGGGTCATATTTCAAAGCTGTGGCCAAAAACCTTGACGTGCTGCTTCCTTCACATTTCATAACTGCGGCTCAGCGCATACGTGAAGAGCTGTCCGAAAAATGTTTAAACAAGCAAATTGAACTTGAGGCAAACATGCAACTTCCTTCCTAGCGGGGCTCGATTCGCCTACCCTTGGTCCTTGGACACTTTTCGCAACTAGAAAAAAGAACAGCAAACGGAGGCAAATGCTAAACACTTTCCGGCATTGACATTTCTTTCAGTTCGTTGCAGATATTGCGCATACGCCACGTCTGCATCGGACTCCCGATTTATGTAATGTCAATGTTTTTAGCCACGCCAGGAAGCGGCTGCCCGCGATATTTATGACATTTTAAGGACTGGCATCCGGCTAACAGCGCGACTCACTGTTTTAAAGCTGTCCCCCAAAGTATTCTGGGCCAGCTCACTGCAATTAAATATGCGGCGCTGGCTTATCGCACGCGCAACCACGAGTTTTTCTTTGCTTAAAAGTTTTACACAATTTCCACGCCCCACGCGCCAAGGTGTTGAAAGTTGTTGAACGTAACTTTTCGCCACAGGCCCCGCCCCGCCTCCACCATGACACGGACGGCTTTAATCCGGCTTGCTAGCTTTATTGCGCGCTGATAAGAAATTAATGTGCATGAATTTATTGGTGCGAGTCGCTGCCTGCTGGCAATTAGCGCGCTAATCAAATAAGCCACAGCTAATTGTTGTCAGAGCTGAATATTGCTGAGCTGCTAGCAGTAGAGTGTCGCCCCACCGAACCACAGTTGTCTCCAGTAAAGAGGGTAACTGCATGCTCTAGACTAAAATAATCCCAGCCAACTCCTTCTGAGCGGTGCCAAGAGTCTGTAGCTACCAGCTGGCGGTACAAGTTATCTGCACTAGTCCAGAGTCTAGTAGACTCTAGGGTGAGTAACCATTCGCAATTTGGCGTTTACAGTAAGTTAGCTAAACTAAGGTAAGCCAAAGAACAACAACTAATGTTATTGACTGATAAGGAGCGACCAGCTAAGAGGCGATAAGATATCGATCAGCTGCGATACTATATCACTCATAGAGCTCTGCTGTAGGATAGGAATTAATTACCATCACAATTTTTAAAGTACTAGCAATTTATCGATATAGTATCGATGGACATAGACAAGTTAGCATCGATTAGTAAATCAACAATATAAAAAGTGATGCAGCCACAGCATTGGTAAATCATTAAGAGTCAATAAATTATCGATATCAGCTATTGATATAGATAAGTCGATAAACTAAGGTTTCAATTTTAATCAGCTATGGAGGTTTGGTATTGATTATCAGGCACTTATATTGCACACGCAACGTAAATCAATGTGAACCGATAAAACTTTATGTTTTTATAAACAATCCATAAAGATTTTGGCACACAAGCTTTAATTTTAATTAGCATTAGATGGGATGTTAGCAACTGCTAAAGCCTAGTTGATATCTACTTATTTTTTAAGGAAATATATGTGTAAAAGCTGCCACCCCACACTGGCTGCCCTCAACTGCCTTGGAAGTTTGATGGGTGTGCGACTGGCGTTCTGGCCAAGTGGCACCATCTAAAAACCTCACACTCCAGGCGGGGTCGTTAATAAAACACACGTTGGCACACCTCATGCGGTGACAACGACAAGAGCAACTACAACCCCCAGCTAGCTGTGCGAATCTCTCAGAGCCGCGCGAAATGTGACCAAGAGCCGAAAGTCCTTTAAGCACTCGCCACAGGACAGCTCGGAGGCATAAAAAGGCCTAAACAGAATTTCGCACTAATGCCAGCGACAAGTCAAACTGAAGGCTGAAATCTCCACCAGCGAGCACAGAAATTTATGTGCTCCGGGGCGGTGCCTTCATTATGCAGTGACCTACAATGAAATGGGCTGCCGTTGCACAAAATTTATGTGCAAAGTTGAGAGACAGCCTAAGTACCACGGGGCTTGCCCAGACAACTTCAAGTTCTCAGCTCTATGCTGACAAGGCAGCCAGCTACAAGAATCAAAGTGTCCAAAAGCTTCAATTCTGATAAAAAATATAAAATAAAAATTAAATTGCTTTGGATTCAATGAAGCATATAATAAAACCAGCGATAAAATCGCCAAATCAACAAGCAGAGGCCATGGCTAAGACAAGGGCAGTTTATCGCAAGTGGTGCGATCGAGAGGTATGTATCTAAAATTTGTGCTGCTATTGGCCTGCCTCAGCCTGGCTAGGGCTGGCGAACAGGTGCGCTATGACAACTACAAGCTGTACAAAGTGCATATCAAGGATACCGAAGATCTGCAGCTGCTCGATGAGAATGAGAAAGCTCTAAAGGTAAGTTCAGCCATATTAGTTCCCATTTTCCTACAGTCTTTCCTCTGAAACAGCTCAATAAATGGCGGCCGGCGAGTCGCCCTGGCGTCTCATCGGATATTATGCTGTCGCCCGAGTACCAGGAAGCGTTTGAGTCTCTGCTTAACAGCCATAACATGACCTATAGCATCAAGATCGACAACGTGCAGCGCCTGATCGACGAGCAGCGGCCAAAGCAACGAATGAGCTCGATGGAGTGGACCCAGTATCACACTCTGGAGGAGATCTACGCCTGGCTGGATCTGATCGAGGCGCGTTACCCTCACGTAGTCACACCCTTCTCGATCGGCAACTCGCATGAGGGTCGCCCCATACGTGGCATCAAGATCTCCTACAAGCCAGGCAACAGCGCCGTCTTCATCGAGTCAAATATTCACGGAAACGAATGGATCACCTCGGCGACGATCACGTACCTCATCGATGAGCTGCTCGTGCCCAGAAATCCGTCTGTTAGGGATATAGCCCAAAATGTGGACTGGTACATTATTCCTGTGCTAAATGTGGATGGCTTTAGCTACTCACACAATGTGGTAAGTGTAGCAAAAATCCCCCTGCTATAGGTGATTGCTGTAAATATAAAGATAAGTTTATATCGTATTGATTATAAAACTGCCAAAAAACAACTTAGATGGTTCACTAAATTTGATAATATTCTTTAGAATTGTAAATAGTCATTAAGCAAATAAAATTTGATTATTTAGGAACGTTTGTGGCGCAAGTCCCGTCTGAACTGGGATCCCACTGGAGAATGCGTAGGAACCGATTTGAATCGCAATTTTAACTATCGCTGGATGGGTAAGTAAAGCACTAGGAAAAATCTTCTAGCCTTGCACTAAAATCAATTAAATTTAAATTTTCAGAGGCTGGCGCTTCTGCTGATCCTTGCAGTCAACATTACGCCGGCCCATTTCCCGAATCCGATCCGGAAATTAGTCAACTGACGAGCTACATTAACAACTCCATACCGGAGGGTATTATAAAGATCTACATATCCGTGCACTCGTATAGCCAGCTAGTGCTCTCGCCCTGGGGCCATACGGCTGAGGAGTTTCCCCCACACTATCCGCAGATGATGGGCGTAGCCAAAGGATTTGCCGATGCAGTCTTCAGGCGCTATGGCACTCCATATAACTACGGATCCAGTGCCGCAACTCTGTGTAAGATCTATGGGCTTCTGTTCTGATTCTATATGTTAACTGTACTTAAACACCTCAGATGAAGTTTCTGGCGCGGGCAAGGACTGGGCCTATGGCGTTAAGAACATAACCATACCCTTTACCTTGGAGCTACGCGATAGAGGCGAGTTCGGATTCCTGCTGCCGCCAGAGTACATATTACCTGTGGCCCGTGAGACCACGGAGGGATTCGTCGGCCTGATACAGGCTGCCCGTGGAATTAATGTCTTGTGAGCAGCTTAGCACTCAATAAAGAAGCCCCCACAAAAAAAAAAAAGAAAAACCACAGACAGTCAGAAACAGCCCCCATTGTTGGCTCCCCAGTGCAGACGGCGCCACTGCGCTCAGAGCTTTTGCTCCGCCCCAAAAACGAACAGCGCGCCGAAGCTTCCAATCAGCGACGACGATGCGGCCAAACAGAAACGAATCGTGCCGAGCTCTGGCATTGTGATAAGGCAGAAGAAGCAGCAGCGAGCAGCTAACGGTTGTCGCCTGCATTTTCTTTGCTTTTTTTTGTTTTTTGTGTGCTGGCGCTTTCCACACAGGCTGCTGCCGGTTTTCTTTCTTCTCTTCGTTTTTGTTGTTTGCTTTTCAAGTGTGAAAGGCGCCGTTGGCCGCCAAGTCTCCGCCTATTTTCAACGCGCGCGCAGCATCCTGCTGGGCTGGATGCCAACTCATCATGCATGCGATGAGCATACACATAACTGTATATATGTATAAGTGTATGTGTGTATGTGTGTGTGTGTGTGTGGGTCTCCTACTCGTATGCGCGTTAGCAAACAAAAATAAACGCAGCGAATGAGAAGCGACCAACGAAATTCTTTAGTTCTGCTCAACATGGCGTCGATCCAGGCTTATATGTTATATATATGTATATATAGGTACATCTATATATAGCGTTGTATATAAGCTGTCCATATAACGGGCAACGCCATGTCTATTATTATTATTGTTGCCTTGCACTTATTTTTTTCAATTTGTCTAATGAAATTGCTTTTTCCACTTGCAGGCCAAAAACGAGAAAAGAAGCAAAAAAAAAGCATAAATAAAAAGAAAATGAGAATAGTAAAAGAAATCTTTGGGAAATTCGAGAAAATATCACGTTGACACTTTTCGCACTGCTCCTTGGCTGCATGTATATGTATATGTGTGCGTGTGTGCATGTGTATGTGGGTGTGTGTGTGTGTGTCTTTTTTACTCACTGCTCATTCTGCATATAAATTGAAATTTACGAGCTTCGCTTTTCTTGTTGCTGCTGCTGCTGCTGTTGCTGTTGCTGTTGCTGCTGCTGCTGTTGCTGGCGTTGTCAGTTGCACCTTTATGACAATTTTCCTAGCTGGCACTTTTCTATTTTAGTGTTTTCTTTCTGCTAGCTGTTTTCCTTCCTCTGTTGTCGCCTGTGCTGCGCATATTGCGGTGATGAATTTTTCTCTTTGAGTTATGCAAGCGCTGCTGCACACCCAAAAGCCGGCAATAAAAACTTACTTAGCCAAATTGCTGTAAAGCAAATGAAGGATAAGAAATTTGCCTAATAAAAGTGTCCCGGGCAATCAGTTATGGCAATTGAAATAACTCCAAACGGATTCGAGAATCCAAATAATGCAAAACATTTTCATTATATTCACAACTAATATCGGGGGAGTAGGAGAAGCAGAGCGAATGCATACATGCGAGATAAAGATGGGAATGACAGAAGTAGAAATATAAAAAGTTTCTTAATAAAGTTTCTTTCGCTTGCAAATATGTTAATTAGTTATTTAACTACAGCGTGATTTATCATGATCATTTAATCAAAATATGTATAATCAGCTATGATCTATATGATCTATGATCTATGATCTATGATCTATAGATGAGTAGTCTGGGCAGTGACTATTCAGTTATTCATTTTAATCAAGTAGCCCTTATATCAATCGAAAGTTAAGGCTTAGCTCATATATTCTATAGTCTAACAATGTTTTACTTTAAAATCAAATTAAAAACAAATCATGATAAAAACGATCATAAATCATTAAAATTGTGAAATCTCCTACAGCCTTATAGATTAGATTATAAAAACTTTATAACACTTTAGATTAGATAATGAAGTTTTTTTCTACAATCTAATCTATAAGCTTATACAAAATTATAGTATTTAAAACGTTTTTATCTTGATTTGATCTTCTTTTTTAATTACCTAACTCTCCTTGCTAGTATAGTTATACTTATAATTATATCTCTATAGTTTTTCATTATTCGTTTACCCGCCTTACACAATCAAATGCGCTTAGCTACAATCGTAATACCTATAAAAATACCTCCAATACCTTCCCGTAGTAGACTCTGTTTACACATTCAACGGGAGGCTAGAGGCTAGAAAGCATATGACATTGCCTGACAGTCAGTCTGAGTCATTCTTATTAGAAGTTGAGTTGGATGCAGTTGGCTGCCAATTATGAAACGAGTGCAGAGAGCCAGCCGTTCGCTCGTTCGTTCGCTCTAATTTGATAATTCAATTCTGCAATCAATTGCCGATGACAGCCAATCAAAAATCAAATCAAATGCGTTGCCTTTACGCATGGCCAAGCCCCAAAACGAAATCGCTTTAATTGCTGCCAAGGCAATAAACTTCAACGCCAATTGACGCTTGACACTTGAGCTGAGCTGAGCTGAGCTGAGCTGAGTTGAGTTGAGTTGAGCTGAGCTAAGAGCAGTGAGAACGAATCGAAGCGTAGCGACTGATAGCTCTTGGAGCTTGGCAAGTATGACGAGGAGAGGAGCAGCTGGCTGCGGGCTCTTGATATTCCCAGGTGCGGCGTCTGCGCCATTTTAGGACGCAATGGCAACGAGAATGTCCATAGAAGAAAGAGTCTTGGCCCGGCAGAGGCATAGTGCACCGTTTTGTGGCGAGCTGAGTAACTGGGATCGGGCAGAGGCTCATGGTACGCCTACCAAGAGTTATGACAGGCCACAGAGCCTGCCATCCCAATAAGGCAAAAGGTGCGTCCGTTTATGGACTGACGGCGACGACGGCGTGTTGACAATGATGTGGATGATTGGTGTTTGCTGTGTTGTTTCGTAAGAAGCAAGGGTAAACAGTCCCCTGACCCCGCCATGCCGACTTGGCCCGTTTACGTTTCCTGTGAATCGGCCAAGGCACAGCAGATCAGCAGGCCTCTAGAGTGAAGAGAGAGACAGAGAGCAAGAGAGAGAGAGAGAGAGAGTCGCGTCGCCGTTGCCGTTGCCTTATATGAACCGGGGAGACATTCGTCTAGACGGACTGGAAAAAATCACAGCAGAATCATTCAGCAATGCCAAGTTTGGAGGCAGCTACTCAATGATTGCCATGAATGAAACCCACGTTGCCCAGCCGACCAAGCAATTAGTATGCGCCGATTGTGATCAGTCGGAAGTAATGCTAATTTTATCATCTTCTGACTCTTCTTCTTCACTCTTTTTGTACACACTGGCAGGCAGCCCTAAGCAGCCGCCCAGCCTCCCAGCCTCCCAGCCGAGCCATGGCCTTTCACTTGCTCCGCAAGCTACTGAGCTACTTTTTCCATGGAATCCGAAAATGGTCTGATGCATCGGCCCAGGAGATGTCATTAACATTAGAGAACAGGTGAATGAATGCACCTGACAGCCGACAGCCGACAGTCGACAGTCGACAGCCGACAGCCAAGAGGCGGCAGCTGAGCCCTGGCAACTCCATTATGCAGTCTATGCCATTAAGAGCGTTAACGGGGAGCATTAGTATCCTGGCAGCAACACCTGACGCACCAACAACAGCAACGAGGTCAACTTCAGACAAAGGCATGCAAATGCGATTTTCCCGGGACCCAAAGCCTTGTTGCTGAAATAAGTAAGAAAACAACTTTTACGCTAAGCAGATGAACAACATTTGCATACAAGCCCAGGCGAGGCGAGGCGAGGAGAGGCGAGGCCAGGATACGCTGCGCCGCTGTCCTTGCAGGACTTTTCCTCTTCTTTTTTTTTCGGATGTGGAGGATGCGAAATCAAAAGCTTTTTAAAGGATATTTCATATAATTTCACGCTTAAGCGACAGCATGGGCCGGACAAGTTGTTTGCTTAGCGGCCAAGGAAATTGGAAAAAAGCCGGAAAAGCGGGCCAAAAAAACACTCGAGACGCAGAGAGACGTCTCCCCCGCAACTCAAGAGCAGCCGTTGCTTTACCCACGTGCCTGGCCAAGACGAGCTGAGACAGGCCGCGTGCTCGTCTTTCAATCTTACTTTTGATTGGCGCCCCTTCCAGCTCCTGCTGCTGCTGCTCCTGCTGCTCTTAGGAAAAATTTGCATGCGCCTTTTAAATCAATTATTGTTAAATATTTATTTCTTGACAGTCCATTTTAGAGGGGTTGGCCTGTGTGGCCGGGGCATATTATCCTAACATAAATTACATGATTGATTTCATTCGAGCGCAACAATAGAACTCAGCCACATAGGAGCTGGCTCCAACAACAGGACGTGGAGCACGCAGCGCGTAAGCGCTAGAGAAAACAATGGCAAAAAAAAAAGTAAAAAAGTAAACAAGATGCAAATACACTTCATTCTATGGCTTTGGCTTTGCCTTTGCCTTTGCCATTGGCTTTCTCTTTGGTCGTGGCTTTGGCTCAGGGCCTTGATTAAAAAGCTTCTGAATTAGCATATCATTTGCCGCACTGCAGTCTCTATAAATACTTAATGGAATGGCAGAGCCATACGTCTATATGATATATGTATGTAGCTGTGTGCCATGCATAGCAATAAGTGAAAACTCAATTGATCTGTCAAGCATTGCAGAGATGTCGTCCCAATATATTTAAAGAATATGTTTTTATGTCGAAAAATATATCAAAGGGCAGGCAAATATATTTAGAGCATCCTGAGACATAAGGATTTCTAATTGTTATGAGTTTAACTTGTACAAAATATATGTGACACAATAAAAAATAAAAAAAAATAAAATAAAATGATTAATCAATCTGACTGTATTCTCTGCATATATACTCCATATATTTAATACTTTATATATCATATTATAAATATATTTATAAATCATATTAAATTTTTAACTTTATTATTAAAATATAATTATTGTTGTAATTATTACTTTTTAATATTATTATTTTATACTATATTTTTTATTTAATTATTCAGATTTTAAATTTTACATTTTAATTAATTAACATTTAATTATATTTTTATTCATATATTTTCTTTCATAACTTTCTGATTTCAATCACTTTGAGACAAGATGCGATCTATATAAATAATAAAAAATATAAAATATATAGAAATAAAATATATAAAATATATAAAAAATATAAAATATATATTATATATTAAGTATTTCTTATTATATGAAATGCTATAATGTTAAAATTTTAGTTATTAAATTTTAGGCCAATTTCTGTCAGCTCATTCGATTTTTAGGCTCCTTTTGGCTTGCCTAAAGCTTCCTTCCCCTAACTTCGGCCTCAGTTCATTTCGTTTTTCTCACTTACTACCTGTATCAGTGTATTTATTTAGGTTTATATTTCTTTGCGTATTTCTTTTCATTTTTTATTTCGTATGGCCTGTCCCCTGTGTCTGTGTGTGTGTGTGTGTGTGGAGGAGCTGCGTGTGTTTTGCTCGCTGGCGCGTTGACATTGCCATCAAAATGCTTTGACGTGGTTTTTGATTGACAGGAAACTCATAAATAATTCATGTCATTAAATCATGTTACATTTTTTTCTCTTCTTTCAGCTTTCCAGCTTCATCTTCTGCAGCCGCAGCAGCAGCAGCAGCAGCAGTCGCAGCAGCAACATCTTCAGCTCCTCCAGCCGCGAGGCTGCGGCTAGCGGACTGAGGGCAGCCGCGAGTCCATTGAAACGGGTTTTCCTGGAGCAAAGTGGTGGACGACGGATCGCTGGACATTTAGTGAGGCTCTGGCCAAGCTCTATGCGCAAGAGCTAGCAATTAAATGTCAAAACTGTTTCCCTAGTCTTGGCCCTCTCTGCGCTCCCAGCGTCCCCCCTTCACGCGTCCTCTTGATGTAACTGTAACTCAATTCAGTGGGCACTCGAATTTTTTAATATTTCTTGCTGAAAAACTTGAAGGAAATAAGTTTTCAATGAATATAATTATGCAAAGCAGCTGTTGCCTCCTTCCAGCGCCTCTGCCCCCTCGCTCGCTCAGTGGGTGGGCTCGGACCTTGGAAGGCGCTAAAAAACGCATTAAAATTACCAGAAATGACGTAGATGACAAAAAAACAAAAAACTGTAGAAAATGTTGATATGAAAGCAGCTTGGGCATATTTAAATAATTCCAGAGCCCAAACCCCAGACCCCAGATCTCAGACCTCAGACTCCCTGTGACTCCCAAGCTTGCTGTCATAATATTTTCATATTATTTTTCGCTTGTTTTAATTTCTTGTAGCAAGATTTCATATATATATTTTTTTTTGTTGCTTTTCCCACCATTTTCCTTAGATTTGCTGTCAATTGTCCTTCAGCGCGTCTGAAGGCAAAAGTTTTTAATTTTTATCAAAGATTTTCGGCGCAGTTTTTAATGAAATTTCTGCTGTTGCTGTTGCTGGTCTTCCAAAAAGGATTCTCCGGCTTGCTGTGCGCATAATTTGCATAAATTTCTATCATTTTTTTTTTATATTTGTTCCGCTCGCCATTGGCAGCGGCAGCCATTTTTAATTTGTGAGTGTCCTTTAAGGAAACTTCTTCAGCAAGTTTTAATTAAAGTAATTTATGAGCTTGTTCTGATCGCTGCTGCTGCTGCTGGAGATGGTGCTGGAGCTGCTGCTGTTTACTTAAAGCTGGCAAATCATTTTAATTGCTTTGCGATTTCTCTTCTTGGCGATGCCACGCCCACTCGACAGTGTCTGCCTTTGTTGTTGTGCGGCGATAATAATTACACGTCACGCTGCCACGCAATCAAAACATTATTTGTGCAAAATCACGCAGCTGAACTGAAGCGGAAGTGATGAAGGGCTCCAGGACCTCTGCACAGGACTTATTGGCTGCACGCGTCCTCGCGCCGTCGACGTCAAACAAAAACCAAAAGCCAACAGCAAAAAAAAGTTTAAACAATTTTTGTTGCCTTCCCATAAGCCACACCCCAGAGTCTAGGCCGACGTCCAACTCTCAACTCCCATCTCCCAACTCTCGAGTCTCGAATCTCAGTCTCTGTCCCTGGGGCCGGCACCTCACGCGTGTTAAATTCAACGCAGCGCGTGCGGTCACGTGGCCGATGGGCGGCCAGGCTGGTTGCCACGCCCACCGCCATGATAGTCGCAATCGCTGCGCCGAGATTTTTCATCAGTCACTCGCTGATTTCTCATCAAGCACCAATCAACAAATGGCAGCGGGGAAAGGGAAATCGCAGCACAAAATCGACGAAAATTATGTAAATTGTTTTCCATTTTTGTGGTCGGCGAGCGAAAAAGGATAAACGAGTGCGAAAATTTGCCTAAATGCTTGACAGCCAGCTGTGCCAGGACTGGCAGGACTAGCAGGACATGCCAGCCGATGCAGCAGCAGCGGCAACAACTCCAAACTGTTGCACGCAAAACAATGTGACAGAAACATATGTTGCCGCAATCAACAACAGCGAAAAGCCCCCAAGACCCTCGAGCCATGTGCAAATGGATGCGCAACCCTTTGGTAGATTGACAACAGCTAAAATTTACAATTGACTGTCGATATTAGGGATATAAGAGAGCTAGAGTGTGAGAGAGTCAGAGTGTGTGTGTGAGAGAGAGAGAGGGCGAATGATACGAAGGTATGGAATACTGCTCTGACAAGACGAAGAAGAATGGAACAGATGGAGTTTTGCTTAGCTGTCAATGCCAACCTTATAGAGGAATCACAGTATGCAACAATAAATAATAAGCAAGATCTATGAGATCTATAATTGGAAAAGAACATTAATTAATAATTTTAAAAACTAAAGAAAAGATTCAAATTACCAAATAAATGTTACATTTTTAACTGATATATTTATATAATTTATAAATAAATTAATTTGATTTAATTCTTCAATTTGAAAGAGGTATCCTTTCCCTTTTCACATTTTAATAAGCTTGTTTTATGTTTAGGTAATCTCATTCTTAACCGCATAAAACCTTAATGAACTTCATTTCCCATACATATTTCATATATCAGCAATCCCCTTAGATTAATCGAGTTCTTATATAGCCACATAGTCTGAACTCTAACCATTTACATAAAATGTTATTCTGTTTGTTGGCTTGTGTAATGCGAGCTCTAGATCAATATTATGATATTGTTTCGCATTTGTTGTTTATTACTTCCTGCTCGTGCTCGACACACTATCCATTTCATATTTCGAGTTGACTTCGGCTCTTTTTTGTTCCCATCGGAAGGGACATCCCCTGCTAGTTATCCTGTCCACCCCCTGCCGGGCTAACCGACACACGTTCGCGGCAATAAAAGCGCAAACGTTTCAATTCCGTTGCGGCTGACAAATGCACAAGAATTGCCAACAATTCAGCCCCAAAACAGCAAAAATATTATAATGATAAAAAAAATAAAATAATACGCATAGAGTAGGGCAGGACATCTGAACTTTATCTGACTGCCGTCGAGTGTTTTGATTTGTAACGTTTCTCACTTCATTATTATGCAATAAATTCACATGGCAAACTCGCATAATGGGCACATACTAGCAGCATATCTCATGTGGGCCTAGGGGCGAGTTATTAGGGGGTTGTTCACCCTGTCTGTTCTTTGCCAGCGGAAATAGAGCATCACACTGGACGCTCAGATTGTGCAAAATAATGATGCTGAACATGACAAGGCGACGACTTTCCTTAATATAAATTACACAAGAGTTTCCCAGACTTTGCGCCATACAAAATTGTTTGTTCTTTGCCAAAAGCTTTATGATTGGGGTTGAAAAATGAGCTGCTGAGTGTTGCCAACTACACGCGAAATGCTTCTGTAAGCTTTTATCAAGCACAAATTCACATTACTAAAAAGTTCACTAAACAGGAGCTTTAAGTTTTGAGCAAATCAAAATTCGACTGCAGCTTTCATTCAACCAGCGAAAAGCATGCCCCGCAGCGCTGAAAGCTTCCCAGAGCACAAACCCCCACCCAACAACAGCAACAACAACAACAAAAAGTGCTCAATCACTCGAGAAACGAAAACCCACCCCTTGTGTGCGCCACAGACGTGAGAGACGACTTGATGTCTTGAGCATAAAAGCTCTCTGGCCATGCTTTGGCATGTGTGTTGGCATGTAAGCTGCGCTCCGCTCAGTTGTCGTTGCTCTCTCTCTCTCTCCGTCTCTCTCCCTCTCTATCTCACTTTCGCCCTCACACTCTGGTTGTCGCTCTCGCTATTGCCACTGCCGATTGAGGAAAGCACAAAAAGTGCGCTGTGTGACACAAAGAGGAGTGTCAAGCAGCATAAATTTCAGCATACAAAATTCCACACACAAGCGACGCGTCGCAGTCCGAAAACTTTTTCGGCGAGTTTTCCGCAGAAAATCCATAAAAATGAAAGAACCGAGTGTAAATATACAATGAAAATTGATGCGCAAAAGTTCCTTTTAGTCTTAAAGCAAATTGTGTAAATAAAAGTAAGCGGTAAATGCAGCACGGCACAAGCTAAATATGCCGCTAAACAAATTGTTTGTGATTCCGGAATCGAAATTGAAAAACGCTGCTCGCTGGGGCCGAGTGATGGCTGTGCCCAAGTGGCGCTCCGTATAAATCAAACAAGTTTCTATGAAAACGCGCACACGTTAAAACGAATATGAAAACGAAACGTCGAAATGCTTGAATACAAAATGCCAAATGGGAAATGAAAATCATAAATAAAACATAAATTATGTTTTTGGCAGCAGCAACAAAAATAATAATCCATACAAAAAATATATGTATATATAGTAAATATATATGAGCGCCGCGCAACAAACGAAAATACAGATATATTTTGATTTTTTTTTATAAATAGAAAAATCAATTTCGCACGCAGCGCGCACTCAAACACACACACACACATAAACATACACGCACTCATACAGGAGCAAGAAGCAGCAGCAGTAGCAACGGGAAGAGAGAGGCAATGCTGGAGCTTGCTCGCGCTCTCTTTGTGGCTCTCTCGCGCTCACTCTCTCTTTGTACGAGTGTGTTGTCTTCGGCTACTTGGCGCCTCGCTGCCTGCCTCATTCGCCTGCCCAAGTGGGTGTGTGTATGAGCGGGTGTATGTGTGCATGTGTGTGTGTGCGCTTGTGTGTGTCTATTATAAGTTTTACTGTGAGCGAGCAAGAGGCAGACGCTCTGCTATGGTCAGCCCGCTGCTGCTCCGCTATGTGAGAATAATTGAATATAATTCAAGTGTTTTTGTTGCATTATTTGTTGTGCTTATTATTGTTATTTGTTTAAATTAGCAACAACAACACAAGCAACAACAACGCTCGCGAGTGTTGAAAGCTGTAAAACGCGCGCGTCTCGGCAAAAACTGAAATCAAAGCAGAAACATAAATCGAAACGGGAGTAGTAGCAGCAACAGAAACAGCAACAGCAACAGTAATGACAACAACAATTACGGTAGTGAGACAAATAGTATGGCAACCCTAGAGCCAAACCCTTTTATGGGTCCTGTGCCGCGGTGCCGTGTGCATGTTTACAAATTGACGCTGCAAATTGAATTTATCGTTCGCACAGAGCGAAACAAGTGGTTGGGGCCACACACACACACAAACACAAGCTCACACATACGCGCGCACGCACAGTCGGAGAAACAACAACAGTGGGTCGGCCGGGTGGTTCAGTGTGGCCAAGCAACGGTATTTGCAACGGTATCTGTCGCTAGGTACGGTCCAAGGCAAAAAGTTAATTTCCGCTACTTTTAAAAGTTTTTATGCGCTCAGTGTGTGCGTGTTTGTGTGTGCGTGTGTGTATTTGTGTTTATGTGTGTTTGGTTTGATCTGGAAATGATGGGGTGGGTGGGCGTTTTACGCACGACGTCGACTGAGCAGGCAACAACGATGTCGTAGACATAGTCGACAAATGAGATTCTTGAACAAGTGGCCAATGTGGAATGTTCCATTCTCTCAAATGTGTTTTCATTTTGTTGTTATGATATTTTTGTACGATTCTTGCTGTTGTCGTTGTCGTTGTTGTTGTTTGATGATGATGTTGATGTCGCATTAAAAAACGATCTCGAAACGCACAGCAACAACAACAAGCAGAAATCAAATAAATTAAATTTACACACATAGTTAAATTAGTGAAAATTTAATAAAATCGAAAGAAGAAGAAGAAAAAAAAAGAAAGAAACACAGCAGAGACGTGTGACAAAAACGTAAATAAAATAGAGGTATACAAAGAGAGCGGGAAAGAGCGAGAGAGAGGACGAGCGAGCGAAAGAGAGAGACCTACAAAGAGCGCGCGAGCAAGCGAGCGAGGGCAGCAGATACAGGTCGTCAGCAGACTACACAGAACGTGTCGAGCAACAAATTAATAAATAAATAAAAAATAAGTTCAAAACATACAAAAACAACAAATCGAAGAAGAAGAACAGCAACAAGAGCAACACAACAGCACAACGTCAGCGTCAACGTCAGCGACGCCGTCAGCAGCAGCAGCAGCAGCACAGTCAGAAAATGGGCTGTGGACAGAGCAAAATACATTTATATCCCAGGAAATCGAAGAGTAAAGCAAACGGCAAGAAAGGAGGACACGGTAAGCAGCAAATCAAAGGAGTTGCGCCTATGTATGTATGTATGTATGTACGAATGAGTGAGTATGTATGTGTGTGAGTGAGTGCGTTTGCATGTGTGCGATTGTGTCTATTTGCCTTGACGACACACACACATTGGCACATGGACACATATGACAAAAGCTTACACGCATGACGACATCAATTTGCCTTGCAGCTGTGTATAGGTGCGTCTGTGTGCACGTGTGTGTGTGTGTATGTGTAACGGGTGTGCGTGTAAGCCACCTGTTTTCACAATGAGGACATCATTGATTAATATGACAGCAGCAGGGCTTAGGCCCTGCAGTTGCCAACTAAAAGACTAGGCTTATAAGCTGCACACACATGCAAGCCTTAAATATAAGCACGTGTGTGTCTATATGTACATATGTGTGTGCATGTGTATCTGCGCTTATAATAAAACACAGTAAAATAAAATTGTTGCCCTAGCCTACATTCAAAAGTTTTCGGCAAAGCCCTGAGAGCCTTTTGTCATCAGGTTGTTGTTGTTGTTGCTGTTTTTACAGCCTTTCTCTCGTGTGTGAGCATGGGTGTGTGTGTGTGTGTGTGTGTGCGTGTGTGTGTGTAATTAACTACTAAAAGGCAACTTGTTGTTGCAATGGGCGCACCAGTTGTGTGGGTGTGGTCCCCTTGGGGCCCTTGTCTCTATTTATGTATGTGCATGAATGTCGCTTTGTGTATGTATATACGCATGTATGTATGTGGGTGTGTGTGTGTGTTCGTGTGTTCGTGTGTTTGGGCTGCGCTCAAAACGGGTTAACAAAAGTGTAGCATACACAATGGCGCCTTTGTGCCATAAAAGACCCAAATTCTGATGGCCTTAGGTTCGTTCGTCAGGCTCTCGCCTTTTTCGACTATGGCTAGATTAATTATAAAGTTTTTCATTCATATCGTATTTTTGCGCTGCGGCTGATGAATTTGCATTAAAATGCATGGCTCGTCTTAATTAAATTGGCCAAAGGCAGCGCCAAGTACCTCAAAAGGGATGACGAACTGCTTGATTCAGACTTTAAGAGGATGATCGAAGGATGAATCCCTTGCTAGGACATCAGCTCAAGCAAATGTTTCATAACTTTTTAATTTTGGATGCGAAACGTTCGCTCTTTATGAGGATTATTGATAGCTCGAACACTGGAACTGTCTTCAGCTGTTGTCCCACTTTTCTATGACTTCGCCAAATGTCCTCCAGGCACTCGTTGCGAACATTTTATTGCTTTAGTTTTCCACTTAATGAATACTTACATATGTTGCCTCCGCTCACTTTCTTTACTTAGCCGACTCGGATGCTGAGACGGATGAGGATGAAGGTCACATTGAGGATGCTGAGAAGGCGCAACAGCGCGAGCGCGAGAAGCATGACGAGACCGAGGAACAAAGCAATAAGGACATACAGGACACCGAGGAGGACGTGGCCGTCTCGCTGCTGCGTGCCAAAAACCTGTCGCTGCTCCAAAGCCAGTAAGTAGCAACTAACCAGTGTGCCATGTGCCACTCCCCCATCCCCCCAAAATCCTCCTCTCAACTAAAACTGCCTGCACCTTGCAGAGAAATATCATCAAGCCAACAGAACTTCTTTCGCATGCTGGACAAGAAGATCGACGAGGTGAGCCCAGGACTCAATCGCTAATCCAAGACTTGACTAAAGCAATTCTCTTTGCAGGGGCCCGACTATGACTCGGCCAGCGAGACGGAAATTGCCTTGGAGGAGGCTCGACTGAATGCGCTGGTCCAGCATTGGGAGTCCGCCAGCCTCACCGCATCCATATGCTCCTCCGCCAGCCGCTCGCTGCAGACGACGCCGATACGTCAGGTGGCCCAAGTGCCGCTCAAGACGAGAGGCGCTACGAGAGAACCCGCTGGCCATCTACTGCAGCCCTCCTCGGCGTGCAACACGCTGCCCACTACTGAGTATCTACCTCAGCACGTCATGGCGGGGCGACAGCAACAGCAGCAGCAGCAACTACAGCAACAACAGCAGCAACAACAGCAGCAGCAACATCAAGCGGCAGCGATCTATCAGCAGCAGCAGCAGCAGCTAATCCTCTCGCAGCAGTTGCTGCCACAACTCGATGCCAATCTCGTCAATACGTCCAATGCCAATGCAGCGGCCGCCGCGCAGCTCAATCAGCTGCAACAGCAGCAGCAACAGCAGCTGGTGCTCTACCAGCAACATCAGCAACAACAACAACAGCAACAACAGCAACAGCAGCAACAACAACAGCAACAGCTCGCTACGTATGGTGGGCATATGTTGACGCTTCCTGCCGGCGCCAAGCCCCAAACTGTCAGTCCCAAGCGGCTGCTCTATGGCGCCATACCCCCGCCGCCCGTTTGCGCAGCTCCTGTTCAGTATATTGCCGCCAGCTCGCCGCTGATGCAGACGGGCGTGACGGGCTTCCTAAATGGCGCCGGCGCAACAGCCGGTCGCGCACCCCTGCAGCTTTCCTACTACGGAGTACCGAGCACTGCCTCCCAAAATGTCGCCCAGCAAGCGGCTCCAGTTCCCATCGCCTCCGAATCTTACGAACCACCAACCGCTCCACACAGCCAAAGCCAGCAGCAGCAGCAGCAGCAGTTGCAGCAGCAGCAGCACATACAGCAGCAACAGTTGCAACAACAGCAGCAGCAACAGCAACAGTTGCAGCCACAAACGTCGCAGCTGCAACAGCCGCCAAATGCAGCCGGCGCCTACTACGGCGAGGTCATGCACAATGTTCAGGTGAGTGGGCGTGGCCATGACTGGGCGAGATTCCCTAAAACAAAGTCTGTTCAGCTATTCCACATGAACTCCACTTGAGACTTTACTAAATAATAATTTCATATTTCGTTTTCTGCAGCCCGCGCCACCCACGGAATACAAATTTCCGCCGGCAATCAGCGTGCAGAGATTGGCGCCGCAGGTGCAGCGGCAGCTGCGCGAGACGCAGGAACTCATAAAAGACTCGTGCCCGCAGCTGTATGCGGCGGGCTATGGGAGCCCAGGACCACCGATACGCAATCCCAACAGGAATCCCACTAGAACTAGACCCACCCTGGAGACGCAGTTCTCGCAGGAACTCTCGTGATATCTATATATGTAAACAGCAAAGCAAGCCGAATCCCCTAGCAAACAACTAAAACAAAATCCAAAAACAAACACAGAATTAGTCAACTGCGCCAAAGAACAAATTTAAGCAAAATTAACAAACACAAAATTTAATTATAAACAAAAAAAGAAAATGCAAAAAAAAAAACGAAAAAAAATCGATAAAATTGTAAAACTGCACTCAATGTTTCAGTACTCCTTGCCCTCCCCCCCAATCGGGTAGTTAAGAGCCCAGAAAACGAGAAATTAGAACAGCAACTAATACTACTGAAAGTTATGCGAATCAGGAATATATTGCATTATAACTATAACTATATATATATATACATAGTTATGCAGACACACGCCCCCAAGTAATCAGCCGGCAGCCAAAGAGCGAGGGATAGAATGCCAGACAAATAGTTTAAGGATCGAGTATATAACACTCTATGTACGCCAAGCAAGCCCAGACGTTAGCCAGTTACAAAAGCAACAAAGCAACAAAAACACAAAGAAAACACAACACAACAAAAATGACTTCTACATTCTCACAATTTTGTTAGTCATAATCATATTCATCGTGTAATTTTTAAAAATCAATTCTGTAAAATGTGTGAGGTAAAGAAATTGTCAAAAAACCCAAAGAGAAAATTTCTAGCTGGATCGGATAGATGCAACAATGATAGCCACTGATAAGAGATCATTTCAATTAATGATGATGATGATGATGATGTTGATGAATGATGATGACGGTGATGCTGTCTAGTAATATTTGTATACTTTAGTTCTATTTATTATTATGATAATTTTGGATGTATAATAGTTTTTTCTTATATAAAAAAAAAATATATATATATATTTAAAAATGAAAATAAATGAAAATCAATTAAGTTAAGCGAAAGCAATCGATCATTAATCAAGCGAAGGAACCCGTAAGTAAAAACCAATTATTGCTGATGTTTAATTAACTCCTTTATTCATAAGTTGTAAATCAATTCATAAGTTTACATTAAATGGAATTATACATTTTAGTTATTTTTATTTTTTCTTTTGTTGTTCTTGTTGTTATTGTTTTGTGAAAGTTTGTTGTGAAGTTTCAGCTAAGCAATTAGACTAGTCACATAATATGGTTTAAGACGATGTAATACGCATTTGATTCTAAGAAATTATATCATCATATTTGTTTGTTTCTTTGTTTCAGTGTCGCTTGGAGCATTGCAAATTACAATTTTGCATTATTATTAATATAGATAGATTATTGAATAGGTTTGATTATTCGAGAATAGTCACAGAAATCAAATACGCTGGGGCCAATTATAATCTAAATGCCAAAAAACAGTTGGCAACTGAATTGCCCAAATGTCTGACTAAAACAAATGCTTATAACTAAATGATTTGTGTGTTTGTATGTGTTAATGTGAGTGTGTGCTTGTGTTCGTGTACGTTCGATTACAGGTAAACGAATAGTGAATTTATCGAATTGCAAGCGTATTTGATTCCAGTTTAAACCATATTATATTACTAATATGTGTGGGCGGAGGAGATCTACACGAGTCTGGGATCTTAGATGTTGATGCCTAAGACATTAATCTACTCGAAGTTGCATACGCTGATGTGCACGTTTTCTTTTGTCCATACGTGATGGTGTGAGTGAGTGCGTGTGTGTACGTGTGTTTGTGTATTGTGTGTATTGTTGTGTGTATTTATATTTTAGTGATGGAAAGGAAATTATATTCGAGCAGAAATTATTCTAGACCCTTAGGGGATCTAGTCCTTTAGGCTCGTACAATTTGGCGTTACTGTTAAGTTTAGTTTTGTACGGGTAATGGTGGTGGCGGCATCACGTACGGCATTGCGTATGGGGCCCGATAGGCGCTAGCCGCTATGCTGGGTGCACCTCCGTTCAGCGACACTGTCGCCATGCTACTGGACATGCTGGTATACTGTCCGTATGCCTGTGGCGGCATGGGGGCTGCTCCTCCCACCGGCAACTGCTGCGGTTGCGGCTGTTGTGGCTGCTGTTGCGGCTGTGGCTGCTGCTGCTGTTGTTGTTGCTGTTGTTGCTGCTGCTGCTGTTGTTGGTGTGGAATGGGTGGTGGCGGCATATTCAAATTCAAGGCGAAGCGAGAACGCTTCTGTTCGACGCCATAGCCATAACCAGCAGCGGCTGCTGCTGCTGCCTGAGCAGCGGCCATATGTTGTGGCTGCCCGCCCGAGACTTGGTTCTTCGGCTCAAAGCAAGCGGCATTCGGATTGAAACGTGAGAACTGCACTCCATTGGGTTGCTGTGATGGTGTCTGCTGCTGTTGCTGCTGCTGTTGTTGCTGCTGCTGCTGCTGTTGCTGATAGCCGATGGCTGGCGGACGATAGCCACCCGAAGAGGGCGGCGAGTTGCGCGATACCTTTTGGTCATAGCGCTGCGGACCAGCCGGGTTGTAGCCATTGTTGCCGTTGCCATTTCTATTCATGTTGTTGTTGTTATTGATGTTCTGGTTGTTGCGATAGTTGTTGCCCATTTGGGAATTGCGGCCCTGATAGCCACCATTGTTGCCGCGATAGTTCATGCCACCACGCTTCTGATAGCCAGCATTGGAAGCCATGTTCATCAGTTTGGGATTAATAGTCTATATGGGAGAAAATAACAGGCAATACATTTATAAAGAGGATATAGAAGCTGAGATGTTTGGTGTTCAATCAATTACCTGATTGGCCTCGCGCAGCACTTGAATCAAATCATTGGCCTTGTTGGCATTGGAGTGCGTAAACAAGGTGTACGCAGTGCCCGTATTATTGGAACGACCGGTACGCCCGATGCGGTGCACATAATCCTCCGAGTTCGAAGGATAATCATAATTGATCACAAACTTGACATCGTCAACGTCTGTTTTGCGTTTCGATTTGAAAATTGAAGAAGTTATGAATATGTTAAACATGTTTTACAAATTATACGCTTCTCTTTGATATTCTCAATACATACTCAAGAACTATAAACAAAAACAGAAACTTATGTGTGTGTTTTATTCATTTTGTGTGTTTTTTGTTTTTGTAATGAATTATTTTTTTTGTTTTATGTATTTTGCTAAAATTAATATAAGCACTTTAATTGATAACTTGTTTTGCAATCATATTTGATTTGCTCTACATATTTTATGGTTTTGATTTGAACAAAAATTTCGCCATCAATACTATTTAGCGTATATTAACAACTATACATCTTTGGCAAACAGATATATGTTTTTTCTATACTGCAGAAATGTGGACCTCGACCTTTGTGTTCTCTTCATTTTGTTTTTTTTCTTCTTTTTGAAATACACAAATCTTTATTTTAATATATATTATCTTTTTTAAGCTTAATGCATACAAGAGACGGCTTGATTAAACTTAAGATGTAGGTTTTATAATAAAAATGTGATGAGTGGGTGCTAGGAGTCAGTTAGTTTTTATGAGTCTACCGGGGAATGGGGGAGAGGTTGGACGAGGGGATGCAAGGTTGTTAGGGCGAAAGAGGGACATGTTAGTGACTGACTGACTGACTGACTGAGTGAGTGCGTCAGTGAGAGAGGAGAGAGCGAAAGTGTTGGTTCATAATTAGCCTAGTACTTACCCCGTGTGCGATCTATGATTAGATATTAGATAGGGCTTACGTAATAAATGTTGTTACGGCTCTGTTGTTGTTGTTTCGGTTGTAGCTGTTGTAGATGTAGCCTGGGCGCGGAGCTAAAGTGATGAGAGTTCCGCGTTGCTAAAAACTTAAGAATTCAACCCTCAACTTGTATATAAAGCTTAACTTTTTTTTTTTCTTTATCTGTTTTGTGTATACAACTTTTAACATTTAACTTTTCTCTTGTTATGGTTTTTCTTTTCTTTTCTTTTTCTTTTTTTTTTTTACTTTTGCCATATAAAAATCGAAGTCCATTTCAAAAAGTGCTGATGATATTTTTGTTCACACACAAATTTAGGTTTTATACATATAGGAGCGACGTAATATACAATATACATAATACTTTTATAATAATTACAAATAAACTACGAAAATAAGCATCAGTCAAAAATTTCTTGGCCGCAAAATATATCGCTAACTCTTTTTTTTTAATTCCGAATTTGAACTTAAAAAAAATTTGTTTAAAAAAAAAAATTATATATGTTTACAACTCTTTGAAGAACTGGCCATTCTTTTCAAGAGTGTAATTAAAAAAACTTTTTGGCGATCCTTAAATATATGTATACCATTGTAGAGTAACTAACAATTTGTAAGGGATATATTATAGAAAATGACTTATGAGTAAATATAAAAATAAGTATCCACAGTCGCATCATGAATATCTGTTTAATCTCCAGCTGCTATCAATCGGAAAAAATGAGCTAGATTTCCTCTACAAAGGCATTTCGTATTCGGTTAACCGAAAAACCCGATTTCATTATTTCCTTGTGGTCTTAATTCAGATTTAATCAAGTTACTCGTATTTTGCTAAGCCATTGAGTCCTTGACTGACAACATATTGCATACGGTATGTTAGGTTACTCAAGTGTAATTTGACGAAGCACAACTAAAGACTAGATAGAAACACGTAGAGCAACAAACTAAAAACACAATAGAGTACATATATGTGGAATAAACTTTATATAACCAGCAAAATGCAGGGAGAACACATTCCCTCATTATTATTTCGACCACACCATTTTAAAGATTTTTTTTTTTTAAGTTTTTCTTTTTTTTGGGAACGGAAAAAAATATTTAAAGCGAACAAATAAATGTAAATAAAAAGAAAAATATCTTTCAATGCTTCGCCGGTCGGAAGCAAACGGGAGGAAAGTTGGGAAGGAGAGAAGACTTAGACATGCAATGCACAAATTAACCTGTAAATGCACAAAGGTCAACTTGTCCCACTCGAACGGTGAGAGAGAAGCGGAGCATAAGAGAATGTGAAAGAAAAGTGAAAGCCAAGGAATGAGAGAGAAAGAGTAATAGGCTGGTCGGTGTTGGCCGATTCATCGCTGACGGTCGCTGCCAGACGACGACGACGACGAATCAAATAATGAAACAAAACCATTTTGGCATTTGGCATTTTGGTCATGTTGTTGATCCACAGCAACACTTGCTCGGTTATTGGTTATGGAGCGCATCAAAAAAGACAACAGCTCAGCTTGGCATTAGCCAGCTGCTGGCGCAAAAGCTACGAAACACTCACCCAATCCGCGAGCGGCCACATCGGTGGCCACCAGTATGGAGTGGCGTCCATTGCGGAAACTCGATAGCACAAAGTCGCGCTCCTGCTGCGACTTGTCGCCGTGAATGGCACACGCACGCCAGCCCTGGCGTGATATATTGCGTGTTATCTCATCCACACGCTTCTTGGTCTCCACAAATATGATGGTCTTGGTCTCATTCTCACCAGAGATTTGGGTTAGCAACTGTATGAGCTTAACGATCTTCTCCGACTCATCGCAGACATCGACAATCTGGAGTATGTTATGATTGGCGCTCAACGATAGGGAGCCAATGTTGACCTGAATGTAGTTGTTGAGAAATTCTTCGGCCAGCTGGCGCACCTCCTTGGGCCAGGTGGCGGACCACATGAGCACCTGACGATCTGGGCGTATCTGCTGCATAATTTTACGGATTTGCGGCTCAAAGCCCATGTCCAGCATGCGATCGGCCTCGTCCAACACCAGATAGGTGCAGCGCTTAAGCGAGGTGGTTCCGCGCTCCAAGAAATCAATCAAGCGTCCAGGAGTCGCAATGACAATCTCTACACCACGCTCCAAATCACGAGCTTGCTGGCCCTTGGGGGCACCGCCGAAAATGCAAGTGTTGCGCACCTGAGTGTTCGACCCAAACTCACTAGCTACCTGCTGGATTTGCTGGGCCAGCTCACGTGTGGGTGCGAGTACCAAAGCAATGGGTCCATCGCCACGTTCCAAGCGCGGCTGATTGTTAATGTGGACCACAGCGGGCAAGACATAGGCCAATGTCTTACCCGAACCGGTTTGGGCTACGGCCACCAGATCACGGCCACTCAATGCGATGGGCATACCCTGAGCTTGAATAGCAGTGGGCTTGGTAAAGCCCTGCTTGCGTATCTCATTCATTACATAGTCAGGGAAACCGCCCTCCTCAAATTCAATGCTAGGAGTGGGCACCTCATTGCCTTTAATAGTTATCTCGTTGCTGCTCAAGAAGGTTTCTGTCTCCCCTTGAGTGCGAGCCAACACAGATTCACAAGGCTTATAGAAGTTCTTACGGAATGGTGTAAGAGACACCTCTGCCCAAATAATTGATGGCAGATGGGCGCCATGGGTGGACGTGCGGTTGCTGTTCTGTCCACCATTAAAACCTCCTCCCTCGCGAGCTCCTGGGCCGCCCATATTCATGCGACCTCCATTGAATCCACCAGTACCAGCGCCACCGCCGGGTCCACCACGAATGTAGGGAGCCGAGCGATTACGCTGGAACATTCCAGCACCGCCGCCAGCGCCCATACGATTGTTGGGCATACCACCGGTGGGTGCACCTCCCATATAACCATTTACCTGTCCGTTATACCTGTAACGAGCGTTGTGCGCCATTAATTATAATTTTGAGCATCAAAAGTAGTTCCAAACTATTTTTTCTACTTTTCGATGTGATTTTCACTAGCTACTCTCTCGGCCATTTTGACTTATCGATTTTTAGCAAGTATATGAAAAAAAAAAAATTTCCCCTGTGCAGCAGTCTCATTGCCACATGTGTGGTTCTTTGCGAAAAACAACGTAAATTTGATGTGCCCCAATGAAAATTATTGTTACTTACATGTTCATTTTTATCAGCACTTGAATTGCACAATTATTTGCCAAATATTTTATCTTTTTTCACTTTTTTTTTGCAATTTTCACTTCACCTTACAATTTTCCAGGTTTTGCACCTACGTCAGTATTAGAGATGAAAGAAACTGCTCGCTTAGTTATGCTCGATATCTGACATATTCGATATTTATAAATCAAAGCAACTCTGTTTTACACAAATAAAAAAAGCATTAAAGTAGAGTGACACCATTAAATGTATACTAAAATGAAATGAAATGTTACGGTTGCTGCATTTTTAGAGGTTGCACTTTTTAATGATTATGTTTAAAAATAAACTGATTTTTTGTCTTTATCGAACACTGTTTTTCAATTTAACAGATATGTATATATTTTAGCCACTTAATCGCTAATATGCGTAATGTCACTCCACTATTATTCAAAATTGATTCCAGACTTTGTTAAATATGCGCACCAGCTATAAAAAGAATCGTCCATTTGATTTCAAGCTCATCGATCATGTCGAGCCTAATACCGTGTTGTATAAACGCCAGACCGGACTTTCGAACTATGATGTTATGAAAGTTAAGACGGAGATCTGGTCGAAAATAGCTGAGATAATGGATTGTGATGGTAAATTGGACTATTCCTTATCGAATTACCAATAATTGTGGACTTCTTTCCAGTGGATTTCTGCCTAATGCGCTGGAATAATTTACATTATCAGTATCGCAAGGAATCAAGACGACCCGGCGGCTCAACCTGGCCCTATTTTAAACGATTACAATTCTTAACAGATGCGCAATCGCGGCCTAAATCCAAGGCGAAAGTCGAGAGGCCGCCAAATGTAGAGCAGAAGGAATCCTTTGTGGATCAGAATGCGTGGCAGTCGTATGAAGATTGCGTTGTGATGCATGTCACCGATATGGAACAGCATGATGACAATACCTTAATAATTGAGGAAATTATTGAGCCAAGCGATTTAATGCTACAAGAAGAAATCATTTTCGAGGAAGCAGATGATGCAGTAGAGCAGCGTCTGCAGCTAAACATAGAACCCGCAGCTGAAGAAAGGTCAACTCTTGCTGGGGACGCATCGCCATCGTCATCCACAAGCGATTATCTACAAATGAGCCGGATTTTGGGGCAACTAAAGGGCGTACAGAAAGTGCGAGCGGAACGTCGAATTCTGGCCTTCCTGCTCAAGTGTCAGCTTCGAGCTCTAGTGGATGAGCCCATCAACGACCTGGTTATTTAAATATATAAGACTTAGCATTGTAAATAGACCTTTAATAAACAAACTAAAAGAAAAAATTAAACATTTTCTATGCGTTAACCTTGCACTTGTCCAGATCATGCCACGCCACGTTTGGCTTTGTTATGAACTGATCGCGACTTAAACTATCCAACATAAGTGCCTGTTTCCTCACGTACTTGACCAGACGCTCAATTTGAGTGTAATCGTCACAATCCATTTCGAAGAAGCGACGCCAAAGAGCAGACGCGAGCACCCGATCATCGGACATGATGCCCTCGTCGTAGGCGATCAGTGCCGCTTGAAATTGTTCCGAGAGAATCTCTATTTGCCTTCTCGTTTGAGAGGGATTATTCGCCTGCAGAACAAATAAAATATATAACTCAACGAGTTCAATGGAGTTTTAGCACTTACCCCAAGTTTTTTGGCGCGTGTATTTACGTCTCCCCACATTGCCTCCACGATGCAGTTTCTCAGGAAGCGTCCATCTTCGCCAGTTTCTGATCCTTCGGCCATGGAGCGCATCATTAAGAGCCAGACATGCAGCTCAGTAACCAGGAACCAGGAGTTGAATGTGTTGGGCAAATTAAAATCGCGAAAGAAGGCAACATAGTTGATCTTGTCCGCCACACTCTCATACAGCAGATGACTCGTGACCTTGAGGCGCTGCAATGAGTTTTGTTTTTAGACATCTGTTATGTATTCTTTATTTATAGTACTCACGGCTTTTGTATTGGGCGTAAAGCCCACTTTGTGCAGAACACGTTTCAATATGCTACCATCTTCCGCCGTTTGTTTTGTTGATTTCCCAGGACTGTCCACAACGCCAGTGGAGCAGAGTCGGCATTGGTGGGTGAATCTAATTGCCGCAGCTGCTGCCACACGATGCGTATATGTTTGTTGCGCTACCTGTGGGATAAAAACAACCGCCAGTGTGGTTTATATAAGAGTGGTGCAGGTGCAGTTGCAGAGGCCACTTCTAAGAGTTAAGCTCTGTGATTTCTATTTGTTTACACACCAGTCCTGATGTAGTGAAGACACTCCCAAGCCTCGCAGCTGCGCGTGTGCACAACATGCTTTAATTAAACTGAATTTTAATTGTTTAAACCGAAACGCAATGTTCTAATAACATGTAGTGCTGCCAACTCGACCAAAACCAATTCCGGCACGAAGCACAAATATCTGGCTTAACAGCCCACAGCTGACTTAACAGAGCCGCTCAACTGCAATAAACAGCTGACTTATTAGATTGGCTCCACTGTTAACAGAATTGTAATATTATGATCAGATTTTTCAATTCGTTTGTGAAATTGTATTAATTTAATAAGAACTAATTATGATACGTTTAAGCTCTCAAATATGTAAGCAAAGCGTCGCTTTGCAACGCCTGGCTGGCAGCACAAACACGATGCCCACCATCAGACTGCAATTGGTCACTAGAAAGATGACACAACAGCACCCAAAAGTGGACTACATAACGAGTATTCCGATTGCCAAGAAGAAGGACAAAATCACAGCACTCGGTTGGTTTCTACTCGTAAGTAAGCCTTTAAATAGCCTTACGCCCACTAACCGTCCTACGGCAGATCATACCCGCCACAACATTTGGCCTAGGCGTTTGGCAAGTGAAGCGCAAAATCTGGAAGGAGCAACTAATTAAGGAGCTGGATAAGCAACTGCACATGGAGCCAGTTGATCTGCCGGATGAGTGAGTTGAAAGGCTAGCATCATAAGCTTCTGTTTTAACGCAGCCTATTTTATTTAGTTTAAGCCAGCTATCACAAATGGAGTACCGTTTGGTTAAGCTGCGTGGCCGCTTTTTGCATGACAAGGAGATGTTGATGGGACCCCGCTCGCTCATCCGGCCAGATGGAGGGGAAACACAAGGTGGACTATTCTCCCAGCGCGACTCAGGCAACGGCTACCTCGTCATCACACCGTTCCAATTGGCAGATAGGGAGTAAGCCCTAGACAAGCTATATTAATAGTAATCCCATAATCCTCTTTCGCTTCATTAGTGACATTGTCCTTGTTAACCGAGGCTGGATCTCACGAAAGCATACTGAGAAGGAGACACGTTCCTTGGGCCAGTACCAAAATGAGGTGGAACTGACGGCCGTTGTACGCCAAGGCGAGACACGTCCACAGTTCACACCAGATCACAAAGATGGTCAAGTCTATCTCTATCGCGACTTGAACAGGATGTGCAAGAGCTCTGGCGCTCAGCCCATCTTCCTCGACGCGGTCTACGATCCAAAGGCGCCAGAGGGTAGTCCCATAGGTGGACAGACTCGCGTTACACTACGCAACGATCATCTCTCCTATCTGGTTACCTGGTTCAGCCTGTCCGCAGCTACTGCATACCTTTGGCATCGTCAAATTGTAAGGAGAATACCGTTTTGATTGCTCAATGCATGAATAAATGTTTGTTTATTTTATTATAAAATTTACATAATGTGTGTAAATGCTTGTTCAGCGATCAAATGATACAGAAATGCAGCTCCTGTATATAGTAAAGTAATAGGGCAGACCGTTTGCAACGGAAATAGTTATATATATATATATATATTTATGTATTTAGATATTGCAACTGGAACGACATCTGGTTGTAGAAATAGATGTGGGAATACTTAGGCGTATCTAGCGGAATACTTGGACCATTCATATATAGATATAACACAACAGCATATTTACATTTAGGTGCGTAAATACTGGAAATTGTTGACAGATTTAAGTCGTAATGCCCACACGCCTACAGCTGAGGCACAATGCCCCATGAGCGAAGAAGTCCCGCCCGCTGATATTTCTTTCCAATAGTCTGCACATGGAATCCAATCTGCAGCAAACGCTCGTGATCCAGAATCTTGCGCCCGTCGAATATGTACGCCGGCTTCATCATCGATTGATAGATGCGCTTGTAGTCCAGATTCACAAACTCATCCCATTCCGTGCACAGGACCAGAGCGTGTGTAGCTCTCACGGCGCTGTACGGATCGCTGTGTATCTGCACCGCCTTCTTGACATTCTCTGGAGATTCCGTTACGCTGGGATGCGTTAGATCGTCAATGATTTGCTCCGGCTCCACCTTGGGGTCGTAGATGTCCAATTTGGCGCCCTCCTCCAGCAGCGTCTGGCAAACGGTTATCGCAGCCGTTTCACGTGTATCGCCCGTATTCTTCTTGAAGGCAAATCCAAGGATTGCGATGCGCTTGTCCGACACCGTGTTGAACAAACTCTCGATGATCTTCTGCGAGAAACGGCGCTTCTGGTATTCATTCATGTCAATCACCTGCTGCCAGTAGGCCGCCACCTCAGGCAGGTTGAGGTTCTCGCATATGTAGATCAGGTTAAGAATATCCTTCTGGAAGCAGCTACCCCCGAAGCCGATCGAGGCTTGCAGGAACTTGGAACCGATGCGTGAGTCCAGACCTATGGCGCGCGCCACCTCCGACACATCCGCTCCGGTTGATTCGCACACCGCGGACAGCGAATTGATGCTTGAGATGCGCTGCGCTAGGAATGCATTGGCCGCCAACTTGGATAGCTCACTGCTCCACGTATTCGTCGTTAATATATGCTTCTTCGGTATCCAATGCTCATAGATCCACGACAGCTTCTCCACCGCCTTATGACCCTCGGCCGTTTCCTCGCCACCAATCAAAACTCGATCCGCATTCAGTAAATCGTTGATGGCAGTGCCCTCGGCCAAGAACTCGGGATTCGATAGTATGTCATAGTGTATGCCCGGCTTCTGATTTGCTCGCAATATATGCATAATGCTGTCAGCCGCTCGCACCGGCACCGTGCTCTTCTCGACGACGATTTTGTTGGACTGCGCTATCTCGGCTATCATGCGTGCTGCACTCTCCACATACTTCAGATCCGCAGCACGACCTGAAAGTTGATATAGGTTAATTATAGCTATAGGATTTATGTAGGGGGAGGCGGGCCTCACCCTTGCCGCTGCCGCAGGTCTTCGTTGGCGTATTGACGGAAATGAAAATCAGTTCAGCTTCCTTGATGGCTGTCGTAATGTCCGTGGAGAAAAATAGGTTCACATTGCGGCACTTCTTGACCACCTCATCGAGACCGGGCTGTGGGGCAACAGAAATACCGTTTTAATCGGAAAATTATAAATACATATCAAACATAGATTGATCTGGCCCCGTTTTAGGCACAGCGAGCAGCCCAAAAGTTCGTTTCACTGAATGGATTGAACGAGATAAGATTTTTCGAGTTTTGCCTCCAGCTAATCTTATCAAATGTTTTTTTTTTTTTAGATAAATAAAATAATATATAAATACATATACCAAGAATATATTGAACGAGATACATATGTATATGTATGTATGTACATATTTAAATTGGTATTTTTCCATAGACCATCAGGTTTGCATTTTAATCAGAATTGTGGTTTATTGAACCTTTTACATGATAACTTTGGCAAAGAAGAAGCAGGCGCTAAGTAATGTGGAAATGGGAACAAGAAGAATAAGAAGACGAGGAAGTAGAGCAAAACACAAATGCTGAGCAAAGCGCAAAAATCTATTTGTCATCAAATCAGTTAGGGCCAATTTCAATAGGTAAACTAATTTCAGAATTATCTTTCATTTTTATATTTTTTAATGAACTGCTCTATCACTTAATTGATCTTAAGACAATCGATAGACATGCAATTGGTAAACAAATTTGATGTTTGCCTGCTCTAATTAATGAAGTTAAATATGTGTCTGGCCATTGATAAACTGCAAATAGAAAATGCAATTAGCGTATTTGCATTTCTTAGAGAATGGCAACAGTCTATTTGGCACCTGGGCAAATATGTGCACAAGAAACTATGAGTGCAGTCAATGTCAACATTATCTATTATTATTTTTATCTTTGTTCCTCCTCTTATTTGCTGTATCTGTTTCGAAAACATTGTAAATGCAGTTGCAATGATGTAATCACACTAAGATGACCATCAAAGCTTTTATATGCATATAAAAGGTGTTTATGCTAAAGCCTTGGACTATTGACAGATATTACGCCATCGAATAAATCAAACTTACTCTATTGTTCGGCTCTAATCGCTGGCAGTGGGAAACCCGTTTAGAATTCTTGCAAAATTTAATGTTATTCTTTTGTTTTTATATTATCCAGCAGGGACTGATAACGGAACAGAACTCTGCTGCTTATCTGGCTCACAAGACGTAATGTGGACGGGCTGATAAGGATTGGGGTAATAATGAGGCGCGGGCGGAAACGAGTCTAGAATATCACAAAATAAAAAGCGAAAACGGAAATGCGACAGAAAATAGAAGTAAAAGGGAAATATACATATATGTATTGCCCGAACCCAAGTAACATGTGAGGATTCTGGCAGCTTTGCCTTAAAGGGCTTCCCACCTGCCAGAGTAGGTCAAATCGATACCGCAATCTTGTAAGCAAGTGTAATTATTTGGCAAGCATATACACGCACTTGTATCTGTGTGTGTGTGCACCTTGTGAATGACTAATGAATACTCGTCTGCCGTCGGCATGTGAGGTTCACTCTTCGCTGCTGGGCGGCAGAGGGAGGAGAGTGACCATTGACCTTGCCGAGCACCAATTGTTTTTGTGTTCGCAATGATCAGGTGCCCTCTCTTCGTCTCTATTGTGAGTCGAACAGCACGCAGCCAAACGCACGGCTGTTGTGCGTGCCTCAGATCGAGAGGGCTAGAAAGGTGCGCGCTGTGTACAAATCAGTTTTCAAACCGTTGGGGAACTGGTTTGCGTCTCTAACTGTTTGTCAGACAGCCGCTGAGCCGTGTACTTGAAACATGGACAAGAGAAGTTCATCGACGTCTGGCCACTTGTATCTGTGGCTCTGATTGATGTGTCTGTTGTTTGTTTAGGATTCTTGCTTCAATTTATTATTCATCTCTTGTATAGCACGAGCGTGACAGATCTTCACATCAGACGCACAGACACGCACGTACACAATAAATGCATTTGTTCTAGCACACTCTCGCACAAAAACAAGTACACACACACATGCATTGACAAGCATGCATTCGCCAACGTCAGTGCATCTGTACATTTGCACATTAATTTATTGCGGATGTAACATGATCAACAATTTGACAATAACTTAAACTAACCTCGTAAATGGGCAATTTCTCCGAATTCCATTGTGCGATTCTCTCAGCGCTTTTATCGACCAGCGTTATGCTTATATCTGGACACTTGAGTGCCATTACCGCACATGTTGGGCCGCCGACATAACCAGCGCCAATGCAACAGACCTTCATTGTTGTATTAAATCGATTTTATAGTACACACTCGCACAAATAATTTAAAATAACGACCGAATGTCAAATTACGCTCAACAATTATTTGAAACAAGACATATGTATGTATATGCACGCAAGTGTTTAATGCTTCCTCGACGGCGTCTGAATAACATCTGTTAACAAAAAGTCCAATCAGACTGTAAAAAGGCAAAAGTGCTCTGAGTTGTTGGTGAACTGTCAGACACCCATTACTCTATTCAAGTGTTTTGAAACCCACCACTTCCATTATATGTTTGTTATACATACATACATATGTGTTATTTGTTAATTCTAGCATGCACTTGTGTGCTAGGCATTAAAAGGTGAAGTTGTCGCATACTAACTTTTCGCTTCGGTCACGCTAATCAGTTTTACATGTATTTGAGTTAAAGAGGAGAATATATCAGAATTTAGTATTTGTATACCCCATATTGCCACAGTTCTGTGGTATTAAATAAATCTTTATCTCTTTAAATAACAGTTGCTGTTAAATTTTATTTTTGATAGTCCAATGTAACCGTTAACAGAATTCTGTTAATAGTGGTCAGCTAACAGCACAGTTGTTGACAAAGAACAATCGATAACGCTTGCATTAATGTAACTGTTGGCGCACTCTTTTGAAAACTATTCAAATGAATAAAATTGTTAGAGTTGGCTTTGAAGTTAGGTTCTAAGGAATATATATATATATATTTATCTACAAAATTGGGTAGGATATTTAAATTTTAGTCTCCAGAAAAATTTTCAGGTCTGCTTCTTCCCTAAAAGCCATGCTTCAGTTATTAAGCCTTGTAAAATGGTCGCGAATGAGATTCCAACGGATTCCATCAGTAACCAATGCACATTTTCGTTACATGTCTAAAGACACAAAAGGAGGTAAGGAAATAATTTAATTTTAAAAGCATGATGTGCCGAACTCCTAACGTTATAGCTAAGGAAGGCGGGTGCAAGGAAGGAGGCAGCAAGAAGGAAACGGATCACACTAAAATTAGTGGCGGAGGCAAGTGCAAAAAAAAAAAGCAGGCCGGTTCAGAAGAAGAACAAAAAAATGCCGATCAGAAACATTGCGAAAAATTAATCGAAAAACGTGAGAAGGCAACCAAAAAGTCAAACGAGAAGGGTAAAGGTGAGGGAAAAGGCAAAGCGCCGTGTGCACATGCTAAGGCAGCTTCAGCTCCAAAATGTCCATGCAAACCGTGCCCCACTCCACGTAAGACAATCAGCATAGTATTATTTCAACATTAATTTAAGCGAATTTTCCTTATGTTACCTAGCACCGTGCGAGGGCCATGCGAAGATGTGGCAGAGGATCACCTTGATGTGTGCCCTACCCATGATAGCAATACTGTCACTCCTTGTCCTAACCGGACATCATGACCATGAACGGCCCGAGTTTAAAAAGTGGGGACACATGTATGTGCGCACAAAGCCATTCTACTTTGGCGACGGGCTTAGAAGTCGCTTTCATAATCCTGACGTGAATCCTTTGCCTCCGGATGGCTATGAGGATGAGATTGATGTAGAGGCCATTGGCAAGACGCCCGAGACGGACAAGGAGAGGGAGGAACGCCTTAAAGAATTCGGAAAACTGAATAAGACGTGGAAAAAGCACAATAAGAATCGGGAGGCCGAAGCTAAGAAGCGACAGGCAGCAGCCGACAAAGAAGCCAAAAAACAGCTGCAGCAAGCCTTAAAAGAAGAGAAAAAACAACAAGCAGAAGAGGCCAAGGAGCTCAAGCGACTAGAGGCCGAAGCTGCCAAGGAGCGCAAGCGACTAGAGGCCGAGGCTGAGAAGGACCGCAAGCAACAGTTGGCCTTTAGTGAAAAGGAGCGTAAACGACAAGAGGCCGAAGAAAAAGCTGCTGCCAAAGAAGCCAAGGAGATGAACTACGAGTTCGCCAAGGATGAGCGTGAGGAATCTGATATCCAAGAGGACTTTAATTCGACGAGTTCCATCTAGATAGTACTGAAGCAGCTGGCGTCGAAGCAGAATAAAATTTTGGTGTGATAAAATACGTTTTGGAACATGCTTCTTTTACTGTTTTTAATCTAATGAGATCTTTATTAAAATTCCAAAAATACAGAATCTAAAATATTCATGATATTATTTTTAACTACAGCTAAAATAGGGTTTGTCTTATTTTTTTCTTAAATGCTCTTTTATTAGACTAAGCTAATTAAAACGTAGAAGTGGGAAATTGAACATCTTAACATTTCCTTACGTCCGGCACAATCTTGCACTCGGCAAAGGCGTCGGCGGCCTTCCCTTCCTTCTTGGCGCACGGTGGGCATTCGACACAGCAGATGTCGTCCTTGGGTGTTGCCTTCAGCAGTCCATTGATATTCTCGCCCGGAGCTGGCTTCAAGCGAGTGCCCGAGTCGACGCGCGACTGAACAGCTGGCTTGCCCTTAGGCTGTGGCTTGGGCAGCTGGTAGCTGGGACCGTCCGGTGGATTGGGACTGCCCCAGTGTTCCTCGGGCACTTCCCAAATGATCAGCGACCCATCCGTACTGCCTGTAACGAAAGTCTTGCCGCATGGACTGTACGCAGCACTAATTACGGACGAAGCGTGCTCCGAGCCAATACCGACCACATCGCCGCTGTTATAGTCCCACAGCTTCACCTGCAGATCGCTGCCAACGCTAACGAAATAGTCGCCTGTGGCATTCATGGAAAGACAGTTCACGGACGACTTCTTCGAGGCGGCTAGTTCGCGTATTAGTGCGCCGTTGTAGACCATCCAATAGATGATTCGGCCATCGGAGCCGCAGGTAAGTATTTGGACTCCAGTGGGGAAATAGAGCACAGACATGAACTGCGTATTGGCAGTGACCACCTGCTTGCGGGTCATGCGATTGATGTCCCAAATGACGCAGGAGCCGTCAGTGCAAGCGGAAATTACTTCCGTGTCCAGATAGTTGATGTCCAGCGAGGTGATGGGACCCGAATGATCCTTCAACACGCCCACTAAATTCTGCCGGTACGGCTCGATCTTCCACACGCGCACCTGGCCCTCGATGCCGCCCGTTACGATAAACCGACCCGTTGATGCTACGGCCAAGGCACTGCAGCCTAAGAAAATATTACAGAAAAATTAAGGTGATAAACGGATTACAATTTAAGGATCAAAATTCACCCTTATTGTGTGCATTGGGTATGGCATAGATGAGACGCCCCGTTATGGGGGTAAAGGCGCGAATAATGCCGTCGTTCCATACGGACACAATGCTGGTTCCGTCGTGGGCGAAGCGGACCGCGGCACAGTTGAAATTGTACACCATGATGCGTAGCAGCTCCTGCTTGCGATTGGAGGACCAGATGCGAATGCTCTCGTGGCCAGCGGTGGCAAAGACAGCTGCGTAGTTTCTGCAATAGTTGGGAATGAAGAGACAGACATGGCGGGAAACAGTGTCGCTGGACCTACTTGGGAAATGTTATGAAGTAGACTGCCTTGGCATGGCATGTGCGCAGCAGCTTCAAGACCCAGGAGTTTATGTTCAGCATGTAAATTTCATTCGTGTCGGTGCAGATGTAGAATTTCTCTGGAGTGCTGCGCACAAAGGACGAGATGCGGCCCGAGACGCGAGTTCGCTTAACCTTAATGAGGAGAAGAAGAAGAAGCTTAACAGGCACATAACTGCAGCAAGCTTAAGTGTGGGGCTTACCACGCGCAAATAGGGCCAAGTGGGTTCGGGATAGTCTCGGAAGTTGATCAATGGCACCTCTGTACGCTCCTCCACCAGTTGAACCTCGCCATCGCCAGCGCCAATCAGCAGACGTCCTTCCTCCAGCACATACAGGGCACGCACGCCATTCACATAGCGATTGCAATCACGGCCCGTGGGCTTGCGTGGATTGTGTGTGCCAAAGGCACCTAGAATGCCGCTAGTCGTGCCCGGCCGGGTCACATTGTCCCTGTCGCAGCAGTTGAGTACGATCTTAATGATGTCGCCGGTGCCACTGCCCAGATACGCGAACTCATCCTTTTTATCGATGCGAGCACAATAGAACGTGCGAGTTTTGCTGGCCAAATGGACGTCCTGCACATAGAGTTTCTTCTGCTCGCGCACAATGCTCCACAGGCGCAGATGGCGATCGCCAGCAGTGAGAAAGAAGTACGGATTGTTATGCATCGGACGGACGGTCAGTGCATTGCCTGAGATGGCACGCGAGGCAGGCTGGCGACAAATGGGCGAGCTGCAAGTGGAGAAGAGAAGCAGTTCATCAACTGGAAGAGATTGGAGTCAGTTTGCAATAATTACAATGTCTGCACATCAAACACAATTACGGAGCCGTCATCCTTGCCGCCAATGGATATAACAAAGCGTTCCTCGGCCGTAAAACAAATGGCCTGCACCTTCACCTTGTGCAAATCGTGACGCCCAATCTCCTTGCGTGACTCATAGTCCCACACGATGACATAGCCACGGAAGCCCATATGGTTGATCTGACCGGAGGCGATGTACTTGCCGCTTTTGCTGACATCCAGGCAGGATATGCTGTTTGTGTGCCCGGCAACAAACTCTTGTGTGTTCTTAGCGAAGTCGGCAATGGCTATTTTGTTGCCCAACGGAAAGATTGCAGCCCGGGTAATGGGATGCTGACGCACTCCATTCTCCACTTTGCCATTGATGCCGAAAATTGCTCGCGGCTGTAGCTGCTTGCATTCTTTTATTGGGTTGGCCATTATCGTACACAAAATATATATTTAAATTATGCTGTTCTACGTTCTGGCTTGTTGGACTGGCTACATCGACCTGCCACTGACAATACGCACAGCAACTGCTTATTTATTGTTTGAAAATTAAGCAACCGTTGCTTGGAAGCCGTTTTCAAACAAGGTGGCAGCGTCGTGCCAATCATTTGTGTATTTTTCAAATGCGTGATTTTCAAGCAAAGCTATTATGCTAATATCACTGACCAGACAGTGCTAATATTCTAATAGCTCTGCCAGCAGCAACCAGATGTTAGCTATAAAAAGTAGAATAATTAAACAGTGAACGAAATGTTTTCAACTAGGTGGCAACGCCAAATCACAGCCGGCAAAATAACAAAGCATAAAGAAATTGGTACACATATGTATATGTATGTGTGTCTATATACAACACACACACACACGTAAGGCAAATAGAACTATATAAGTTGCATTCCTGTGCCATTTTTACAGTTAGTCGAGCAAACGGCGGTTGTGCTAATCAAATAAGAGCTCACTTGACCTGTACTCAACAAAAACAACAACAACAGCAGCAGCAACAATAGTAAAAACAACAGCAAAAGCCAAAGACCGCAGCAATTGTGATAAAGCTGAAATATGCTACATCCCAAGGGATTATGTCTGCCTCTGCTGGTGCTCGTCTGCTTAATTGCGCAGTCCAGCAGCTTGGGTTTTCGAAACGGCCGTCATATGAATGGCTTTTTGGGACAACCAAGTTCAATGCCCACCTTGCAGCGATCTTTAAGTGTGGAGGATTTGTGGTTCGAGCAGCGCTTGAATCACTTCAAGCCAGACGACACGCGCACATGGCAACAGCGTTACTTTGTGAACGATGCCTTCTACAGGAATGACAGTCAGGCTCCAGTGTTCCTGATGATTGGCGGCGAAGGGGAGGCCACGAAGAACTGGATGCGTGAAGGTGCTTGGATCCACTATGCCGAGCACTTCGGCGCGCTGTGCATTCAGCTGGAGCATCGTTTCTATGGCAAGAGCCATCCAACTAGTGATCTGTCCAACAGCAACTTGGCTTACCTCAGCTCGGAGCAAGCGCTGGCCGACTTGGCCAACTTTGTATCAGCCATGAAGCGCCAATACAACATGGCCGACTCTCAGAAATGGATTGCATTCGGTGGCTCTTATCCCGGTTCACTGGCTGCTTGGGCACGCGAGAAGTATCCTCATTTGATTGATGGCGCCATTAGCTCCAGTGGTCCACTGCTGGCCCAAGTGGATTTCTCCCAATACTTTGAAGTAGTAAAGGCATCGCTGGCCAGCTACAAGCCGGAGTGTGTGGAGGCTGTGTCGCGTGGCTTCGCACAGGTGGAGATTCTGCTGAAGCACATGATAGGACAGCGCAATCTGGATGAGAAATTCAAGTATGAAGCCTATCGCTATATTATATTATATATATTTGTATACTATTTCATTTTATTATTAGAACGTGCACGCCCCTCAAAGACTCGATTGAGAATAAATTAGACATTGCGAATCTATTTGAAAACATTGCTAGCAATTTCGCTGGCGTGGTGCAGTACAACAAGGACAATAGCCCGCATGCCAAGATAACCATCGATCAGGTAGGCGCCCCTTAGCCAAGCCAAGTCACCTTACAGATTTTTCACCTGCTTACAGGTCTGCGATGTAATGCTGAACACGACTATGGGACCGCCAGTCACTCGTTTGGGCGCTGTTAACGATCTGCTACTGAAGCAATCGAAGACCAATTGCTTGGACTACAAGTACGACAAGATGATAGCCGAAATGAAGAACGTGTCGTGGGACTCTGAGGTGGCCAAAGGTATGCGCCAATGGACGTACCAGACCTGCACCGAGTTTGGCTTCTATCAGACCTCTGAGAACAAGTCGGACACTTTCGGTGATCGCTTTGGCATCGACTTTTTCATACGCCAGTGCATGGACATCTTCTCGGATCGCATGAATGACAAGTTTCTGGAACAGGCTGTGGCCCAGACGAACAAGTACTACGGCGCACTTAAGCCAGGGACAACAAATGTGCTTTACGTGCACGGCTCCATCGATCCATGGCATGCACTCGGCCTCTACGTCTCCACCAATTCAAACACGCCCGCAATCTACATCGAAGGTAAGGAGTCGATTTCACTTGTCTGGATGTAATTTGATTATGGAATATTTTTGCAGGCACCGCACATTGCGCCAACATGTACGAGCCGGCCAATTGCGATCCGCCGCAGCTGAAGGAGGCCCGCAATAAGATACTTAAATATTTGGCCAAACTATTGGACGGCTATGCCAGCTTTGCTAGCTTCACCTGAAATCAGAGCAGCCAGATATCAATTGTGCGAACAAAATAAAAGCAAAAGCAATAAATATACCACTAATACACTTACACATGGCGCATGTGTCATGAAATTTGATATTTATTAGCTTTGTTTAATGTTTTGCGTATGCTGTACATGACATGTCTGTATATATATGGATAGAGGTTTATATATACATCATATCATGCTTAACTTCCATCTGAATTTGATTGCTGTGCTTAATCCTTCTTGGCCTCCTCCATTTTCTCGTGGAATTTCTTCCAGTAGAGCCTGACCGTCTTATTCTGTACTACCTTCTCATCGATAAAGCGGATGGTCCAATTGACAGTCAAGAAGAGAAGGTCATAGATGAAGGCCAACGTCCGAAAGACGAATTTCTCCACCTGCTCCTTGCTGGGCAAATTAGCGGCCGCATCCTGCAAGTTCTTAATGGCATCATCGACCATTTTATTTCCAGAGCCCGGTCCAGAACGTTCAGGGTCCGATGGCCCACTTGCGTTGGACTGGCCAACCACTTTGTTCGATTCTTCCCCCGACATGGGAGAAGATGATGACGATTTGGATTCATCTCTACCATGTTTCTCACTCTCTGTAATGATGTGTGTGGCGGCCTGCAATTGGGAGGTGACCGCAGCCCGCTTACTAGTTGCCTTGCCATAGTCGTGTGTAGGGTCACCGCCCAAAGCAGCTGGTTGCGGCTGCGGAAACGAGTCACCGCCACCTACATTGCCCATACTGGCAGACTGATCCATGTTACCAATGATGCCAGTTGGGCCGCCGCGAAGAGATCCCTTGATCTTCGAATCATCGCTAGCATAGAAGCGAACAAGAGGGCGGCAGTATGCGGTGGAAAAGCGTAGCTTGTTCTGGGCTGCGATTGAGAAATCATCAAATAACAAATCGTTGCAGGTTCCATGCGCGATTTATGGAAGAACAACTCACCAATTCCCTGGGCCGAAAGCAGAGTTAGTGGAAGCTTTCCACGCTGGCTGATCGAAATAACTGCGCGCAGCATATTGAATTACTGAACCTCTGCTTCGATTTTTATTTATTAACGTCCTACACAATATTAAACAGAGCTACTTGAACAACCTGAATATTTTACAAATGTAAGATTTTGTCAAACAATAATGAGCTCAACCTACTTCAACGAAAGCTGACAGGAAAAGAAGGCGCTTCTCTGACGCCGACTTAAACTCACCACACAGTAGTGTTGCACAACGATCCTTAGTTGCAGATGGCTTTAAACCGATGCTCGTCGTATACTGCCCTATTGAATTTCAGTTATCGTAAATGTGTGTGTGTGTGTGTTGTGTTTATTTTTAGCTTTGTCTTTATTTAGGCTATTACTAATTAATTAGTAAATTTCTATTTAGTAAAATTTCTAGTTACATGTAGAGGGCATACAAAAATTAGGCCCACGCACACTCTTCGTTATTTAATTATTATATTGTTTTTGTTTTTTAGTGCGCTAAGCTCTTGGCAAATTCATGACATTATTGGAAAACGTGCCGAATATGCAGCGCGTAAAAGCTGAAGTAAACAAATGTTGGAAAATAACCCCTTTTACGCCATGCAAATTTGTCACATTATTAAATTACTTTAATCTTAACTAAGCGCAAAGTTAGCTGGCCACATCTGTGGGCTACATATCTGGACAGCCATCTTTACCAAGTTCCTGGCGTCTACTTTACACTGTGTTAAATTACATACATATAGTAGATACGTATTTTAATTAGTTCACTTATAGCATTTTTAACGGTTAACTTAATTAATTGCAGTTGGTTATTTGTTCCGCGACTACTGGCAACAAAAATCGGTTTTAAATATATATGTAAGTAAATATAACTCAAGAGCTTGTAAAGCGTATTCGTATTGAAAGCATATACATATGAGTATATACATAAAATACAGATTACAAATATGTGATTTTATGTTTATAGTTAATTAATTATAATATAATGGAAATGTTTGCGCGTTTTCCTTTAATACTAAGACGCACTTTAATCGCATAAGCTGCTCCCTCTCTCTTTTTCGATCTCTCTCCCATTAGAAAAGACCAATTTGCTTCAGGTTATTCTTGATGATGACATCGGTGACTGCATCGAATACAAATTTCACGTTGTTTGTATCTGTGGCGCAGGTTAAGTGCGTATATATTTCTTTTTGGTCTTTTCGTTTGTTGAGATTTTCGAACTTCATGCGAATATAGTTGGCGGCCTCCTCGAATGTATTGGAACCTGTCATAGACAGAGGATATAAATATTAATATAGCTTCAATTTAATATCCATTGTAGCCTTACCAGTGTATTCTGGGAAGCATATTGTTAGGGGAGATCGCTTAATCTTCTCCTCAAACAAATCCTTTTTGTTCAAGAATAATATAATGGATGTTTCCACAAACCATTTGGAATTGCATATGGAATCGAAGAGCTTCAGTGATTCAATCATGCGATTCATTTCCTCATCCTCAGCCAGAACCAAGTCGTAGCCTGCAACGAAATGATATAGATTAGTATATTCTATTTATTAACGAACAGATTCCCATTCTCACCTGACAATGCCACACAAAAGATAATAGCTGTCACGCCCTCAAAGCAATGAATCCACTTCTTGCGCTCCGAACGCTGTCCGCCCACATCGAATAGTCTGCAATATAATATGAAATTAATAGCTTGCATCACGATTCTTAAAGAATTCTTTCGCCTTACTTAAAGTGCAGCTGTTTGCAAGTGAAATGCGTCTCGATGATTCCTGTGGTCTTCACACGTGTTCGCAGCACATCCTGCTGTGTGGGTATGTAGTTGGGCTGCGCGATCCGGTCCAGTGAGTTCAGATAGTAGCCAGCCGAGTCATTCAGCTGATATTCGCGCGAGCGTGCAAACGATTGCTGCACACCAGCGTCCGACCAAAGCTTCTTCATCAGCAGCACGATCTCCGGCAGCAGGATGCCCTCGTCGGCGGCCGAGGCGTGTGTAAAGAACTGTCGCGCAATGTCTGTTTTGGCAGGATCCGCAAACTCGATCTTTAGTCGGCCCATCGCACGTATTATGACCATCAAACTCTGTACGGTGTTGCTGTAGACGACGCGTCGGTACTCCTCGCACTCCTCCTGCGAGTAACCCGTCTCGTGGATGATCTTCATCTGTTTGACTATTGTCGATTTGCCCGATTCGCCGGCTCCTGCAAATGCAACCAGAATTACAAATGTGAAAATTGTGGAACGGATGTTGGCTAAACCATATGGGTGTGACCTGTCAATCAGCAAACAATTGGAGCTCCTCTCTGAGTGTGTCATGCGTAAAAAGCGCCGATGAATGAATGAATGAAGCTAACAATATACATATATACAGACACGCGAGGGGGCAGGAAGCGGGCGGCCATTCATGAATGAATGGATGCCACAAATTGTTCAATTGTCTTTGGGTTCAAGAGGCCAAAAAGCTAGCTGCCGAGCCGAGCCGTACGAGCGTGCTCAATTGCGTTCATGTTGGTCATGTAATATCGGCAGTAATTGAGCTGCTGAGCTCCCATATCAACTATCCAGCTTGTAAATATGCGAATATTTGGCGGTGTTTAAAGTATGGAAATTTCTTATTTTAGACCAATATATTCTGTACGAAGAATGCTTCTATATTCTTAATAAATGCTCACACTGTATATACATAATGTTTGTTTGCCCACTGGCCAATCCTATGCGGTTCGTTGACCTTCGATTTATCAAAATTCAAAAGAAGTTTTAACAGACCTTGCAAACATAAATAAATGCCAAGGTTTTTATTAGTGTACAAAATATACATGAGTTGAGCAAGCCGCATAAATGCAGAGAGTAAACAAAAAGAATTTGGTCAGCAACTTCACACAGCTTATTTGAAGCAGTTCAATAGATAAGAAAAACTGATGTTACGTGTCTTCTAGTTTCCCCCCAACTGCAACTAAAAAGAGTTGAACAAAATTCATGTTTTTATCGCAGACATGATTTTTCCAGCTACCGGTCTTAGTTCATTTAACGTTAAAAAGCAATATACGATGTCCACGATTGCAACAAAGGCGCATTATGCCAACATTATTATTATTATTATTTTTTGTTTTTCTGTTTGTTTTTTGCAACATTCGATGGTTTTTTGTTATTGCTGCATAGGGTTTTGTGTGGTTGGGTCCATTCCCACACAGACAGAGCTTTGGAGGAGATGCGGGAAGGTAGTCAACTTGATTAGGTAATTGCGAGAGCTCGACTTTAGTACTTTCACTTTTGCAGCAAAGCTAAAGTACCGCCCGATCGCATATCATACTATATGCGCTTAGGCACGTAAATATACATACATGCATACATATGTATCTATATATGTTTATACATGTACATATATGATTGTTAAAATCATAGCGAACAATGCATACTAATTTAGGCAATGAAAATTATGTCGTTATAATAAGTAATGGCTTAAAAGACGGTCAACTCGACTTTAATGGCTGATTAACAAATATTCAAAATTTGTATCGTGCCACCGAATAATAAAACAAAGCAAATTAGCGAGAGAGAGAGAGGGAGAGAGAGAGGCAGTTCGCAACAATGGCGAAAAAAGGTCAAGTTAATAATAACAACAATAACATGAAGAAATGCACGCACACTATGATAAATCATGTATTCATTTATCAATGCACCGTTAGCTGTGCCATAATAAGCGCCCGATGCGACAAAAGAAGACAGTAAGAGAAGAGCGTAGAACATGCGAGTCGGTGACTACAAAGAGAGAGAGAGCGCCACTCGAAACACTCCATAATCATCATCAGCATCGCTCATCATGATAATCAGCGTCATTCAAATTAACTTCATTACCACACGCCCATACCTTTGTACATGCAAGCGGTGGAGCCCCTTTTTGGGGCGTGTCAATATTCAATTCTACGCTATTTCTATGATTGCAGTTCCTGTGCAATTAGATAAATATATGTACATATGTATGTGTATGTAAATAATGTATGACTAAAGGCAAGCAAGCACACTCACACACACACACACACATACACTCACACGTTTGGACAAGAAAAGTTCACAGCAATCATTCCATAGCATTTCGCTCATTTGCGCTCACCGCATGACTAATCGTTATCGAGTTTTATTGGCGCCTCCAAGCGGCTGGCGACTGAACTTTCCGATAAGTAAAGTGAGAAAAGAAATGTGTTAATCAGACGTGCGAGCGAGCAGAGCTGAGCTGGAAGTAAACAAATGGAAGTCTGTCGGCATTTAATCGTCGCTAAAATTGGCCATAGGAAGTGCACCAAGCCATGATTTATTTCTGGGGAATTTGATTCAATCACATGTGTAACTACCGTCTGCCGGCAATCAGGGAAAGAAATCAAATCAACATTTGCCATGAATTTAGCTGAAAATGGCTGTTGCAAATTTGACGCAAAGGTCATTTATAGATAATATTGATAAGGCGCCGAACGACGAACGATTTATAGCGATAAGAACAGCACATTAAAAACACATATATACATACATATGTATGTATGTGTATGATAATACGAATGAATGTGCCAGTGTGCAAGAGTGTGTGTATGTTTGTGCGTGTTTATTAAATACTTAAAAATTGTTGATTAAGCTATTTGTGTTGACAGTTTGTGTTGGGTTTCCGAGGGCTCTCCGCTTGCTGTCAGTGTCGAATATTGTTTATGTGTCGTTTGGCATGCTAATGGAACGTATTAAATGCATGTTTATTTATTTTATGGCTGTTTGGTCTGGTGTGGGAAATGTGAGAGAGACTGATCAACATTAAATAAACGGAATATTTGGAAGTGGAAATCACCAAAGAAAGCTCTGAATTGCACTTTCCAAATGGAACGGCGTTCCAAAGGGTGGCAGACTCGGCGAGAGTAAGAGTGAAACCGACATGAAATTAAGTGCCATAATTCAACTGGAGAGGCTGCTCGCAGATACAGATACAAAGTAGGGTGCAATGGTCAGACAGCGGCTGCAACAATAGCAAAATTTTTTATTAAATCTACACGAATAAAGCGGAGCAGAGCATAAGCCAAACACAAGCACAACACACACACAGCTGCATTTGATGTGGGGGCCATTTATTTGCGCTAATATCGTTCACCCCACTTTAAATGTCAGTGTACAAGCAACAACAACAACAACAACAACAGCTGCCCCAGCCAATT